TCCACCCAGCGCGATTCCTCCAAACGCCTTCTCAAATGATCGTGTCGATCCGGATTCCGACACGCCAACCGAACTCTCCCCACGCCCTCGCGGTACACATAGACACAACGAATCTTCGTCACGGGGCAGCTCAAGACCTTCTCGCTCGCCGGAGAGATCAGAGACCACTAGCAAGCCTGAAGGACTGGGCCTGCCCGCCACTACCTACCGAAAGAATCGCAACTCGACCATTTATCAGAGTCCCAACTCCGGGCCCGAAGAGGGGCCCGAAAGCTTCTTCATACCCGTGGCCCTCGATCCCAGCCCGGCCCTCACCGGTACACCAAGATCTGCATCCGACAATGCGGCTGAGAACGGCCGACGAAAGGACAGAGACTACTTTGGTGTTTCAAAAGGGTCAGGGTCCGATAAGCGAGACGACTCGCAGTCGTCTACTCCTCACATCGCATTTCAAGAAAAGGGACGGCAGCCCTCCTCAGATCTTGATGTGGCGCGCCTCAAGTCTGGCAAGTTTACCAAAAACTCTGAACAAGGCCAGCGAAAAGCCTCTGTATCTGGCGATGAGTTCAAGCTTCAGGATGCTCCGGTAAAGAAAAGGGGGGTGTCGACCCGCAGCAATAGCTCCCACTCGTCTGCTCCGCAAGAAGGCTCATCCGGAAAGACTTCGAATGGCGTTGTGCGAAAGGATGGTCACTCGAACCTGTCTGAGGCCAGGAAAGTCAATGAACCTCGCACATCTGAAGATACAGATGGTGCAAAAAGTGGCTCTCGTTCAGAGTCTAGCAAAGCCATTACGCGGAAGGAACTCCCTGCGTCCGCGAGTATGAATTGTATGTGCTAATAACCTCTGGGAACTGCCCTCTCCGTTGGAGTTTTACTGACATGTTGGGTCTCCTTAGCCATCGGACAACGCAGTTCTGAACGCAGTTCTCGATCCGGCCAGTCAGAACAAAACAACTTGAGCGACTCCTACACACAGCCTCGAACCGCGCCGCCGCCGCCGCCCACTGAACAGGCTCAAACACCAAGAAAGAGTTCAGGCAGCTCAAAAGATCCATCGGAACCCAAGCACTCCCCAAAACTGCCCAGATGGAGCAATGGAGGGGACTTCAGCATGGACGAAGACATGGCTAGAATCCTAGGTACTGATGAAGGCTCTTCCTCAATTCTGCGACGAGTTTCCAACGTCGTACGCCATGGCCGCACTGGCAGCGTGGAAGCCGGTCACCCCAATTCCGGGAGGATCAACCACTCCAGAAGCATCAGCGAAACCACCAGAGCCACTGGATCACCGAGGTGGCCCAAGACCCCTATGGGCGATGACCATCCCGGCATGCCCCACGATATCAGCAGCCCCATCTCCTTGACCCCTCCCCATGACGCTGTATTGCTGAAGCGTCAACTTAGAAATTCTGAGCAGCGTGTGGCTGAACTCGAGCGGCAGTTCAACACTGAAAAGGACCTCAAGAGCCTCAACAGGAAGCTGGTCGAAAAGCGTAAGACGGTATCCGTGCTTGACACGCAGACTGAGATTATGATTCGTCAGCTGGAGGTTCTTGCCGGCTATGTCGAACGCGCTAAGGAGACCAAGACACCGATCGATCCTCGAGAGCTGGAGGATTCTGCCATTAAAGACTTTGTGAAGAAGTTAGATGCCGTCAAGGAGACCATGTCAGAAGCCATTGAGAAGCTTCACGAGGAGCGAGACCAGCTGGTTGAGGAGAAGAACCAGGCCATAGCGGACAGAGATCGTGCGCTCATGGAATTCGAGCAACTATCATCCAAGAATGCTCAATTGGCAGACATGAATAACGATCTCACACATCAAATCCAGGAGCGCTTCAAGTCACAAATTGGAGATCTCAAGTCACCAAACGGATTAGGGATATATGGTCCTACCAAATCTGGTGGTGCATCGTCGATCAATCTGGATACTTCAAGCTTGAATACGGGGACCACACTGATGGGCGATGAAGAGCCGATTGTTGAAAGTGGTCCCACAGTCGTACAAGTCAGAAAGGGCCAAGTCAAGAAGTTTAACTGGAAGAAGGGCTCCAAAACAATGGCACAGAACGTTGCAAAGGGCGTGAACAGGGCCGTAGTCGCCTTCCAGCAAACCGATCGCGAGAGGATGCAGCATCAGGGACTGGTTGGAGACAACATTGGCCTGCCCTACAATATGACGGTTACACAGGTAGAGTCTGCAGCTCCCAGCGGACTCAACGGTCAGAACAGACAACAGCAGCACATGGATCCTGGCAGGCAAGGCTTTGGCTTCTTTGGCAAGAAGAACGCAATGCCAAAGTCCGCCTCGTCCAACACCGTGACACTGGCGGCGGCGGCGGAACCGGCATCAATCCTCTTTGGATCGGACCTGGTCGAGCGGACCGAATACGAACGCCGGCAAATCCCTGCCGTAGTCACTCGTTGTATCGAAGAAGTTGAGCTTCGGGGAATGGATCAGGAGGGCATTTACCGCAAGACGGGCGGTAATTCCCAAGTTAACATGATCAAGGACGGCTTTGACAAGAATGAAAACTTTGACATCTCTGACCCAGACTTGGATATCACTGCTGTCACCAGCGTATTAAAGCAATACTTCCGGAAATTGCCTACTCCGCTACTGACATTTGATGTCTATGAAAGGGTTTTGGAGTCGAATGGTAAGTCGTTGAAACAATTGCAATTTTCCCATACTACTCAATACTGACAACTGCACAGCAATTGCCGATGAGACAGACAGGTGCAGCCATCTTAGGAAGACCTTTGCCTCAATGCCAGAAAGGCACGGCGACTGCCTTGAATTCCTCATGTTCCATCTTAACCGCGTCGCCTCGCGCGAACCGGAGAATCTAGTATGTGTACCTTCTTGCAATCTAGTAATCAAAATCTAACAGCATTTAGATGTCACCAAAGAATTTGGCCGTCGTGTTTGCGCCGACCATCATGCGAGACCTGAGCATTGAACGCGAAATGACGGATATGCACGCCAAGAACATTGCGGTCCAGTTTGTTATTGAGAACACCAACAGAATCTTTGACGATTCATGATGGACATGATCCGTCAAATAAAGGGACAACGGCACACCATTTAGCTTCTCCATGCTCGCTCCCAGCACAATTTACTTTGGCTTTTTGTTCTTCTCCATAACACGTTTTCTACTTCTACATCAAATGCGAGCGGGTTTTTCACAACTTGGCGTTTGATATTTTCCTCCCCTTTTCATGATGATATCCGCTTCCTCCCTGTTTCCAATCGCCGTTTCAATATTCGAGTTCGGTAGGGGGTGCATTGGCTCGTTTTTACAAAGTACTCTGTTGGCTGGGATTTTTTTTTTTTTTTCACTTGCGTTTTTTATGATGCAACTTGTTCATCTTTTGGTGTTTGGTATCAATTAGTAGTCAACGTCCAATTAGAAGACTACGCCAGAGGCATCTGATATCGTTTCCAGCTGCCATGCTACTGGAAAAACCCCTTCTGCGTGTGCTTTCCGCCTCTAAAGTCCAATGCAGTTTTACATCCCCACATTGTCTGCATTGCTATATATACATGTTGCGATTTTTGTTTTGTCTCTCTGGCTCCTGAAACAAATTCTCGGAGCTCATATGGATGAAGAGGTGCGACAAGGTTCATTCTTAGTTTCGACACAGTGTCTTCCATTTTCCATTCGGCGACCTCGTACATGAAGTCGCGTTCCCTTGTCTGCGGTTACGGTCTATGTTGCGATTTCATATCTGTAGCCCCTCAGTCTCGAGACGAAATTCCTTCTGCTGGTCGGCGGAAGACACGTCGCGAAAGACTCGGGGTACGAGGTGTGCAAAGCAGGTTGTTAGGGTACGGTCATGAAGAGAGATAGACAGTTGACAGTATTTTGTGCCGAGATATATAGCCGGTCATAAAGACTACGAACAGAGAATGATTTATTTAACGGGACATGAAGTCACTGCCCCTATTTGAGTTTGTAGAGAAGCAATCCATTCTTGTCCAGTGAACTGTGTGCTACGACGAGAAATTGTCCATTTTCAATCAAGTAGTAATCATGACAAATTCATCAGCGAGGTGGGCCAGAAATTGCGCCGGGTCACATTATATAAATGTGATTCAACTTTCTCTAATGGCCCCGTGGCAGTCGAGTCGAGTTGATAGTTGGATTCTGGCCCGTGCAATTCCAGATCAAGCATAGCCCCGTTGGCTCAGTGGTAAAGCGTGTCACTAGTAATGACAAGATCACTGGTTCGATTCCAGTACGGGGCAACTTGGTGTTTCTTTTTGGCCTTTTTCGCCCGTCTCCCTCCCTCTGCTCGGAGTAGTGAACAATCAATTAATCTCTCGACTTGGACGCGGGGGTTTTGGTGTGGCGTGCGCGCCTGCCAGACTCCTTTTTACCCTACACACATACACATGCGTGGTGATGAAACGCCGCTACGACTCCGGTGGTCGGGGCACACAGGCCATCCCTGGGCAGGAATTGGCCAATTTTATATAAGATTTTGAAACGTTGGGACATTGGAATATCCCGTTTTGTGCGTGCCAAAGCGCGAGACGTGCCGTGTCTTTGAACCCCGCACGTGTATATGAATGAATGTATGTATATATATGTACTTGCAGACGATGGGAATGGCGACGAATGAATAAATTGGACACTTGTTTGACATGCAGAAAGACGAGGGGAATACGAGCACGTGGCCCATTTAGTCACCTTCTTCTTGTGACGGCACTTGGTGCATGCTAACACGTTTAGAGTAATGCGAACCTTTTGTCTCCAAACCCGGCATACGCGAATACTTTCAACGTCTTTTGACAAGACATGGCCACCATAGGATGAGCAGTCGACAAATCTACAGCTTCTGCATGAATCGTGGATTAATGTTTGTACAATAGAGTGTTATCAAACAGAGTATATGTATATGTACAAATAACGCCCAGCTTCCGCCGCCTACAACGCCCAACCCAAAAAAAACTTTTTGTAATTAATAATACATAATCGTCAACGGATGCCTTAAGAAACAGAACCTTGCTCTCGCTGCTTCTTAACAATATAGTACGTAATAAGACTTTTCGGATCCTCCTTTATATCCTTGAATGCGCCCCAGAATCCAGCATCGCCCACACGATCGTGCAGCGACACACAGAACTTGACAGCGTCCATGCGGACTCCAGAGTCGGCAGACTCCAGACAACGACTTGACAAGTCGGTCAACTGCACTAGTTCCCAGTCTACAGGAACAAACTCGGCCCGCTTATCGAGCATCTCCTTGAGGACATGTAGGCCCATACTCAGGGTACGACACCCCTCTGTCGTAGCATCCGTACATGTTTGAAGTCTCTTGGTGAGAACAACTACAATTTCAGAACCATCTCCGATGGTTACGAGCTCGTCCGCCAAAAGCTCTAGGCCACTGACCACATGAGCTCGTGTATCGCAAGCCCCACGCGTCTCAAGCAGAGACTCCAGGCCCTTGGAAACGTGTGGTTGAAAGTTGTCCCGCTCCTTCTTGAGTAAGAGCTTGATGGTGGACAAGATCTGGGCCTTGACGTCTTGCACTTTCTCCGCGGGAAGGCTAGGCAGAGGGTCCTCTAGGTATTGGAAAAGCCCCAATAATAGATCCTCGAACTTCCCATCTGTCAAGACAGTCTTGCTGTCGCGGATGAGAGATTGCAGCTTTCGAAAGCCATGGACTTCGAGATTCTTGTTCTTAATTTTGGTGATCCCGCTGTCCAGCAGCCTGGAATTTTGTCGAGTCTTCTCTGGCGAGTCTAGCGTATCCGGCATCAGCGATTCGCCATTTGGCTTCGGCAAGTTACCTGCGGCTTCATTCACTGGCTTATCCTCCAGAACAGGAACGTTGAAAGTTGGCTTCGTTGCAGACGGAGCGCCGTCCGTAAACGGGTCTTCATAAACCTTGAGTGTACAAGACGGCGATTGGACTTGAGTCCCCAAGTTGCTTTCCCGAGTCACTGCCGCTGCAGGCGATGATCTCAACATTCCCGGAGACTCCTGGAGCTTCTCCGCTTGCTCTGGCGCCGAGACATGCAGGCTGGCAAAGTTCGGCACTGGCATCGACTCGCTATTGCTGCGCGCCGGAACCGCTCTGCTGACCGAGGCAGGCGATGTTTGTGAATGCTTCAGCAGCACGGGGCTGCCCCGTGGAGAAGCGATGCGCTTGTGTGCGGATGGGAAAGTCGGCGACGGGATGCTTGATTCGCTGGCATGAGACGTATGGCCGGGGCGAGTCTTTGGAAGTGTCTTCTTGGGAGTCACAGCCTTTGGCGCCTTGGGAGTGACACGCTTGGATTTGACGCTCTCGGGGCTGTCAGCGTCCAAGCCAGGGCGATCACGAACCGAGTAAGGGCCAGCGGTCGCGGGACGAGCCGCCATTTCTGGTCGACGGCGTGTTGGCCGCATGGGAGCCACCGACATGCCTCCGGCGTTGACGGACAGGGTCGATTCGGGGCGGGTCCTTGTAGCGGTAGGTTTCGTGGACGCAGTAGAGTGGGTTGACGTGTTCGATGTAGTCCGAACGGGCGATGAGATATGGGCCATGGCCGAGCCAGGTCTTGCTGGCAGATTCTTGGCAGCCAGAGCCTTCTTCTGGGCCATCATGGCCTCTCGGAGGCTAGGTTTGCTGGACGCCATGGTACTCCTAGATAACCCAAGGCCAGGCCGAGCCGGTGCGTCCGTCTTCTTAGGAGAGTTCGGGTTGTTTGGGTCCTTGTTCAATAGCTTCTGAGCCGTGGAGTCGAGGTCCGCCATGATGCTACAAACCTGTTAGCTGCCTTTGTTGCGACTGTACGACAAAGGGAAAACATACGCATCGGCACGTGCAGGGAAAACACCCCAAAACGCCCAGAATGCAGATCTCGTCTTTTCTCGCACTCCAGGGTTGGCATCTCCCAAGCCTTTGCGGATACACTTTTCCATCAAGTCTACACCCCCGGTGTGCTCCATATGACTCTTATGACCAGCCTCTTTTTTCAGTACAGTCTTTAGCCAGCCTGTTGCATAGGTCCTGGGTTGAATGTTCTTGTCTTGACTGGCACCCCAGATGTGCTGCATTAACCGCTGATTGTAGGTGACGCGGCTGATAATGGTATCAACCGTCACGTTGGCCATCTGCGAGCTAATCTTCTTTGTCCCCGCAGATAGTTTGACCAGAGCCTGCATCAACAACTCTACCATGGGATCCATAGCCGGACCGAGCGAGATGGCAATCTCCTGGATGAGACCGCATCCTTCCTTGGACAAGCTCGTTCGCAGTGAGTTGATGGTCTTGATTATACCATCCAGCATGGCACGGAGGCCACTCACAAAGACGTCCTGGAAATCGGTGGCTGCATTACCAGCGTTGAGGCGCCGCAAAGTGTTGATGGATTGTTCACGCTTCAGCCAGTTCTGTTCCGTCTCCTTGCCCTCGAAGAACCAGGCCATGTCCTTGAAGATGTCGTCCAGCTCGCGGTTGGTATTAACGTACTGCGGGTCGACTGCGTCGGCGGCGTCGGGCATTGGAGTGATGGGTCGTTCGCTTCCCAGAGACGAAACACTGGCCACAAGGGTCGATCGGCTGGTTTGCGACAGTTGTGACGGAAGGGAATCGGCTGGCGTTTCCGGGCGACCACCTGCGGGCGCGAGGGCCTTGACAATGGCTTGCTCAATAGCAGGACGAACCTTGAAGTTCTTTAGTTGTCGCTTGAGGTCTGACTTGGCGGTGTTTGGGGCCGTTCTATGCTGGGGGTCAGAATGGATGCCTGCGACTGGGCGACGATGAAACTAATAGGCAGGTGCTCACCTGAAGAGTTCAATCACGGTGGCCTTGGCAGTGTCTCGAACCATGCCGTCGGCATCTTCGAGAAGTTCCATGAGTATGGGAACGTAGCCTCGAAAAGGCAGACCATGTTCCTGATGAGTCTATAGAAGGAAAGAAGATAGGTTAGTTCCACGGAGCAAGACTGGCAGACACGACACCTCTGATATGCACCCTGTGAGGCACGATGACAACGGTAGGGGAAGTTGGTATTCACCTGCAAAAGCCAGTGCATGCCGCCCTCCTTGGCCCGTGGGTTCTTGCCGGCCAGGGCCGAGCTGCGCACGAAGCGCTCGGCATCAGCAGGTGATGCGACGTAGAGGGTGTTGAGAGCCTGTGCGGCCAGACTCCGGTACTTGTCCTTCTGATCGCCCAGCTTCTCGATTACCAGCGGCAGTGTGCGAGCCGCCTCGCGAGCGAGCAGCTTAGGGTCCTGACGCGACAACCGGGTCAAGAGGTGGTTGAGAGCGGTGAAGCCGGCGTTGACGAGGGCGGCATGCTGGGCAGACGACGCGGTGCGCAGACCGTCAAAGAGCTGGGCAATACAGCTCTCAGGCACGTTATGCTGCTTGATGGCGGATTTTATGACCGTGACGAACTGGACCTTGGCGTCGAGGGATGAGTCGCTTCGCAGGATGGTCAGCAGGTCTGCGACTTGCGCATCCGTGAGCTTGTCGGCCATGGGTGGCACCTATTTCTGATAGGGACACGAGATGAGGGAGGGGAGCCACGGCTCGGAATGATGAGCAAGTCTGCCAGAAAGGAATTGTCAGATTCAGGAAATATCTCGTGGCGGATGAGTATCACATTGAGGGCAAGCTCTGAGCGTGTGGGATAAGGGGGGCCCGATACGAGCAGCTGTGATGCGTGGTGAAGAGAAACAGGGGAGGCGTGGACAAATTAGATTTGGGGCAGAATGTGAGGTCATTCCGGCCACAAGCTGGAGCTGGAGGAGGGGCGACGCCTGAGTGGTCCAATGCCTGCCGTGCCAGGAGAGTGAGGACAAGAAGCTACTTAGCTAGTAGTACATGTACCTGCCTTGAGTACCTAGGTACCTAGGTACTTCGAGGTCAACTAGTCTCAGCAGATAAAGTGGCTGGATACGGAGCACTCGAGCAATTGATAAGATTGAGTCAATCAAACTACTACCTAAGTAGGTAGTACTGGTAGTAGCTTTGACTGAGGGGCCAATTTAACGGCCAGACCACGTAGGAGCCGTCAATTCATCGCGAAGGGGGCCGAGGAAAGAAGGCAATGGGTGTGTTTTTTTCTTTAGAATTTTAGAAAAAAAAAAGACATACAATGCCCAGAGGGCGCTGGCCTGAAAAATGTCAGACTCGAGGGCGTCGTGGGAGTCGCAAAGGTAGGTTTCGACGTGGAGGCGAGGGCATTGAGCAAGTTGCGCCAGCAGCGGCCAGATAATGTTTATTATGCAGGCTGCGCGGAGCTGCAGGTCTCGTATCGTTGTCAGGGCGCGCGTAACAATGATTTGGTGAAGCAGGCTGCGCGAGGCATAAATACGTTCCAATGATGGTATGTCAGTCAGCCGGAGGACGGGAGGAGGGGTTGTCGAGGCTCTCGATGCCGTCGATGGCGCGGTGTTGTTATGCAATGTTTATGTTTCGAGATCGGCTGGGCCGTTGACAGCCAAGTCAGTTGCCTGGGCGAAGGGCCCAAGTGCAGCCAGGCCGCTTGTGCAGCGAGGGGAACAGCCTGCAGACGCCAACGGGCGCCCTGAAACCGCCCGCACTGGTCAACTGGTCTGGAGTGCGGGGCCCGGTGCGTCTCCCGACATGCCCACCGGACATGCGCACATGCAGGCACAGACGGCCTGACCACCGCATTCATCGCTGCCCCCGTCGTCCAGACACGAGCAGATGATGATGGTCACGATGCAAGGATATAACTATATATTACCCGGAAAAGGATATATAACTGATGCCCTTTTACGATGACAATACCTGCTAGCCGCCAAAACCTCTTGCGCGACGCCTGCCAACGTTGAACACCTCGTCTGCTCAGCGCCGTCCCAGGGAGCAGCAGCAGGAACAACAACAACAACAACACCACAAACGCATCACGACATCTCACCCACCAACCACCAACCACCTCAACGTCAGTATCAACCGCAAGCAATCCGAAAATGAAACCGGACCCCGAGACATCCGCCGCCCCCTCCTCATTCCCAACCAAAACTCCCGCCACAACCCCCAAGAAACCACCATGCGCCCAGTCTAAAGACTTCACCCTGCCCAAGCTCCGCCTCGAGATCCGAGATCTCACCCACCCGGGCGCCAACCTGGCCCTCACCTCGGTCAACGCCGCCGAAACCATCACCACCGCCGCCCGCAACGTCCTCCGCCTCCTCTACACCTCCCCGGCCTCGCCCACCACCACGCCGCCGCCCACCCGCTCCATCACCCTCATCCTCCGCGACATGCCGGGCGTGGCCTACACAACGGGCACCGAGCTCGACGACGACCACAAGGAGGTCCACTTCTCGCTCAACCACATCGCCGGCACGAGCAAGCCGCGCGCCGCCCAGGAAATCACCGGCGTCATCACCCACGAGCTCGTCCACTGCCTGCAGTGGAACGCCTTCGGCACCTGCCCCGGCGGCCTGGTCGAGGGCGTCGCCGACTGGGTCCGGCTCAACTGCGACCTGGCGCCGCCGCACTGGAAGAAGGAGGCCGCCGACAAGTGGGACGCGGGCTACCAGCACACGGCCTACTTCCTCGACTACCTGGAGCGGACGCGCGGGGCCGGCCTTGTGACGAGGCTGAATGAGAAGCTGAGGATCGAAAGGTACGCCGAGAGGAGGTTTTGGATGGAGCTGACGGGGCAGACGGTGGACGACTTGTTTGCCGAGTATGTCGAGAGTCTCAAGGCCGGGCAGTAGTAGTAGACTGCTGTCATGACTTTTGTTGCACATGCGGGCAGGCCTTTTTTTTTTTTTTGTCACAGCATGTATATTCTCCATTGTATACGAATAGATTTATGAATTGACTGTGTGTATGTTCTGTCGCTTGTCCAGTTCAATGTGCGTGCCTGTTCACGCATCAACGAAAGCGAGAAACTACATATACTACGGTAACGTCCCCTTAAAGTTCCAAAAGACGCCATGCCATTAGATTTCCCTCCAAAAATAGAAAATTGCCAGTTGGTTCCTTGCAAAACACCGCATATCTAGGGGCAGAAAAAAGCTCTCTTTTTTTTCCCCTCTTTTCTTTTTCACCCGTGGAGAGGGGTATTCACATCAAGATGGCCGTGGCCTTCAGTCTCGCTGACAACACTCCCAACCTCAGACCAACTAGCTGGTGTCAACATGCCCTCGCTTTCACTGATGACGTCAAATGGCCTCCCCGATCTGGTGTCGTTGTCGTTGCCCACACACTCCCCTGATCCGATAATCGACACCGAATCCGTAGGCGTCAGCTGTCCGTCGCTGATCACCTCCGGCTCGGAAACCGGAGCAACAGGCGTTACTGGCAGGGGTGAGTAGAAATTTCGACCGGAGTCGTGAGCCCAGGCCTGAATGGAGGCGTACGCGTCTTCCCTATCGTCCTGACCGGCAGACATGTACTCATTCTCGGCCAGTTGTCGCTCGAGAGTTGCTGGTGGCGGTGATGGTGCTCCAAAATTAGGGGATGGTAGTTCAATAAGTGCAGGAGAGCCGTCTAGCGTGCGGGATTGGGCGTCGTCATTCTCGCGGGTGGTTGCGCTGTATATATCCGACATGTGCTCTTGGCTTTGGGGGAAGGTATAAGTTGCAGAGACATCTTCAACCTCGTCATTTGCGACGCAGTGCTCGTCGGCGAATGGGTTGGCATAGAGAGATGCCGCTGCTACAGGCGCTGCCACCGGCGCCGCAACTTGTACACGGTGACGAAGACCACTATTCGCATCTCGAATATCGGCTCCCGTATTGAAGACGTATGTGCCCTGTTCCGCATTCTCATCTTGTCGAAGAAAGTCATCAAATGAGGAGCCACGAGTTCCCGCCCGGGGTCTTGATGATTCGGCGGGAGGCAGCGCGGCCGGTGGCGGTTGTGCCGCGGATTCCTCCTCTTTCTTCTTCAGTAGCACCGAGTTCCAATACAGCAATTCCTCTCGCTGTCGGCGGCGGGTAGCCTCGTCAGCGTCGACTCCGGGCTCAGCGCCCACGCCACGACTCGATTGCAGGAAGCCCTCCGCATCCTCGGGTCTGTTGAAGCGTGGGGCCCGCTCGGCTGGGTTGATGCCATCACCTAGTGAGTGAAGAGCCACGGCGATGCGGCGTCGAATATCGTCTGCATATCGTCGCAATTCTGGATTCTCATACATGGCCAAAGCCGCAGCGACAGCTACCGACACAGCGACCACGGCGCCCGAGGCGAGTACAACATGGTTGACAGGCATTCTGGTGCTCCGTACTGCGTAGTTACAAGTAAGCAAAGCTGCCAGTGGCGGGGTAAGCGGTTGACAGCCGTGATTAGATCAAAAGATACGGCGATAAAAACGTCTGCGTCTTGCTGAAGAACGAAGAGGCTTCGCTTGGCCAGATATGTCTTCTAGTACTGGATGTTTCAAGGGGACAGAGCTCGACACTGAGCTCGTTTGGAGGCCACATGTGATGACCGTGACTGCTTGCGTAGTCCTTGTTTGCGCGCCTCGCCACTTGTGCCTCCAGGCAGTCATCTGGTTTCCTGATTGGGAGGCGCCGCGCACGTAGAGTCGACGAGTCTGGCCAAGGTCACATGACCGAAATACAGCAACTCGTGCTTTTACTCCATGCTATACTCCGTACAGAGTAAGTAGAAGGCCTTCTAGGAAAATTTTAAGTTGAGCATAACCATCGTGAAGACCATACTCTGTTGCCGAGATCTTGGAGTCTTTCCGTCTTGCTCTTCGCTCATCAGTAGCAAGGCGACTCACCGGAGAGGATACTTCAGTGTGGGGCGAGGACGACACGCGCTGAGATTAGTTTAATACCAGCACTTGGGGATGTAGCTAAGTATTGTGCATAGAGGCCCACAGGGTTACGGAATGGGTTGGGCTAACATGACCGCGCAGCTTTAGACAGCAACTCCGTAACCGCGTAGTCTCGGATCTCAATTGATAAAAGCGAGTACCGATGCTGGCACTCATCGGTGACGCAACTCACCGTGCCCCAACATTCCAGGCAGGCAGAACCAAAGAGCCTCCGGATGCTCGGACCGACAAATTGGGCTCAGGCATAGTGGGGGGATTCAGGACGGAGTTTTAACGGAGTCTCCGTCCGCCATTTATTGACGGCAAATGCTGGCGTAGGCAACATTGAATGCAGGGTCTTGTGGGACGGGGGGAAGGAGGCAGTCATGCAGTGCAATGCAATTCCAGCAATCATCTCATGTCGTTAGAGACAGCTTTCGATGCCAGCATCTCTAATCCGCACCCAGCTGACTCAGTACGCGTATTTAGTTCCTGCTTCCAGCCTCCCCTGCATAAAACGTTCAGTGCGAGGTCAATGAGCAGAAGCCGTTTAGCCGTTGTGGGTGGGTGCATTTTTATGCTGTGCGACACGTAATATTGTAATATGTGCTTCGTAATGCGTTATGCTGCGTTATGCATAATACATGGATTGGGACAAATTAGGGCCGTTGAAGGTTTCAAAATTTCTGGCCTAGGTCAGATTTGAGCCCCTAATGATCCTTTAGCCACCGCCAATTCTCGGTCAAAGTGCTACTATCGCTAAATCATGAAAAAAAGAGAAAGAAAGTTCCCTGCCTCAGCACGAGGCCCTTCTGTTGAGACGATTCAAACATGCTGAATTCTACATATGGACTCTACTGGAGAACATTGCCCACGCAAAATAATAAATAACACCAACCCAACGATCTGTCGCAGACTGAATCCCAAGATATTGTTTTGGGAGCAGCGACACGTTGATCCAACAGGTCGCGATTCGCTTGCACATCAAAACGCCACATGCTGTCTTAACGCCAAATGCTTTGCTTCAGAACCATGTACTTTTCTTTCCCACCACATTATCTAGTGGGAGGTGGTTGATGAAGCACTGGACTCGACAGAGTCGGTGGAGTTGGTACGAGCAGTCTTGGTGCGCTCACTGTAGAGACCACGTTAGTACAGTTGTAATTCCAGCAATGCAAGACATAAGTCAAGTAGCATCGAGTTTGGGGAAAACATACTAAGCAGAGCGGTCCTGCAGCGTGCAGGTCCAGCGGTTGTTGCCAGTTTTGATCTCGAACTTGATGCCCTTGTGGTCACCGAAGGAAGGGGCAGCAGTCGGAGCCGCTGGGGCAGCGGCAGCGGCAGGAGGGGCAGAGGCAGCAGATCCAGGCATTGTGAGCGATGTGAAGAATTGTGAGATGCTTGTTGCGAAAATCAAGAGACTGAGATTAGACGATTGCAGGGTCTTTGGTGCGGCCGGACGGAAGGGAGGACAGACCTCTTTATACAACTGCCCGGCACACGAACGGAGTACTTTGGATGATCTATGATGCGGCTCTACTCATGGGCCACACCCGCACGGGTGTGAAGAAAAACCTGAGACAGAGACAGGCAAAAAGCCCGACGCCGACTGGATGGGTGGCGGGGGGTGGGCTTGGAATCGTCGCCCAAGTCGTTTGCTTGCCAAAAAGCCTAAAACTAGTCTGTCACGACAAGAGATAAGGTGAGTTATTTTCTTGCTGCCAGACCAGGACAGGTGCTCTTGTCCATGTAGTACTACAACACCACGGATTCAGCCTAGATCATATGGGGTGCCAATCTCCTGCCCCACGATCATGTTAGTAATGGGAAAGGATAGCGGCATGGGGGGTTATCGGTTTCTGGCGCCATCCTGGGCATCCCCATGTGTGGCTTTTTACTTCGTCGCCACCACATTTCCAACGAGAATATGTAGTACTACAAGCGAGGAATGGCCTTCGGGTTGCCTTTGGGTGGCTTGAACAGGACAGATACTACTACTACCAGCGCTTGTACCGCGCAGCAATTTTTTTTGGACACTCGGCAGATAGCATCGGAGTCAAGAGACACCTACTACGACTTTCCTTCTTCTCTGGCCATCAAGTTGGTGCCGAACTCCGTGTCCATGGATCCGGAAATTGCCAGGAAACGGAAAGTCACTTTCCAAGGGCGGTACGGAGCACAACGGCGACCATCGGCCGCTGCTGTATTGACAGCACCGATATTTCGTGCTTGTAAAAGCCAACGGTGGAGCAAAACCCGTGGGGCTGATTGTAGATGGGAGGGCTCGACGGGATTGTCGCCTTGCCGCTAGTTTGAGGGATGGAAGATCATCGCTGGTTGCGATGTATGTATATGTACATCCATACGTCCCTTCACAGGATGCCCTCCACGGGCCTGGTATAAGAACCAGCAGTCAACTGCATGCCAAGCGTACAACCCTAGAACGAATTGCGGACAAGCTCTGAATGAAGGGTCCGGTGGGTTGCGATTCAGACCACGGTTTCATGGCTCTTTGGCTTCTCAACAGGACAGTGGAGGGCCAAGTGAGACCGCCTGGTCACGTCACACCAGCCTCAGTTGTTCTAGAAGGAATGCTTAAGAACATAATTGGCTCGCCGAATCTCCAACAGATGCCAGGGCAGGGGCGTCCGATGTGAGAGGCCGGTCATAGTTGTACCAGTACTACTGCATTGTAGATGTGGACCATTTAATCCTGATGGGTGCATGGCAACTGGCTGTAGTCCCATGTGGCCCCCTATGCGTTTGACTTCCAGAGTTGCCGCGTGCGGTCGGGGGCAATAACGTTTTCACTACGGATATCCAGCCCGCGGAGTTGTTTGGACGCGAGGCCCGACGCGGTGTGGTTGAGCTGCACTCCGTGTTTCTCCTGCAACATCTTTATGCTGTCTTTTGTTCCCTTCGGTTTTCGAAGCCCGCGTCATCGGCAGGTCTGGTCGTCCTACTGCGTAGACAAAAGAGAAATGAACAGTCTCAGCCGTTCTGTTTCGACCGTTGACCACGACACTGCTGTCCTCGTTCGCCATCGATGAAACAAGATTCCCCGTGACCTAGCGACACTGGTTCCAGTTCCGTGTTTTGGCAAATCCATGCGCAGAAGCGCTAAATTCCGCCTCAGCCGTCAGTGCCGTGCATTCCCTGCCGTAGGAACCGTGGTGCAGTTACGCCAAGGGGATTTGCAATGAGTATCTGGACCCAGGGTCAAAGTAGGTGAAGTGGAGAGCCCTGATGAACTGCATTCCTTGTCCAGACATTACTGCCGTCTCCTAGACCTGCCCCAGCATGCCTTGTTGCCGTCATCTCGACAGCGTGTCTGGGTGCTTGTCTGAGCATAAAGCATTGTCTGCCACAAATCTGCGACTCCAATGCCTCCACTGTTGTTTGCTGCAATGCCTCCCAAAACAGAGAATAAGCCGAAGTCGCCTGTATTCGTCCGGTGCTGAAGCCAGCTCTGCTGCCAGCAAAGGGCCTTGCGATCGTGGTCGAACAGCTTTGCCAACAGTCGTGAAGCACACAGGCTTCAAGATTGTTAAGTCTCAGGAGACTTCTTTGGTAAGTATGTCCTAGAATGCGACAATGGTTTATGTTTGAGCATTCTGGGTCCTCCAGGATTGCCCTTCTTGTTGTTTCTTTGGTATCTCTGTGTACCTAGCTTGACGGCCATACGCCACTGCATCTTTATGGCTTGTTGCATTCGCAGCTGAAATGCCATTCTGATGAAAATAGGGCTTACTGCTATGATAACTAGCGTCTTGATCATCCGTCGACTGTCCGGCAAAGCTCGGCGCTTGGACTCTCATCTGGGATGGAAGGATCCCACCGCCAACCATGCTTCGTGTTTGCATGCAGGGAACTTCGAGCGAGCATCGACGAGTCATCTTCATCTTCATCTCGGCAAAGTCGATCAAATGCTCGGTATGCATCACCTTATCGTCGAAACTGCTTGCAGGGCATATTGATGGCGAGATTTGGACACTCCTGCAGTCGAATGTCGAGGCTTGATTAGACTACTTTCTTGTCTGATCTTGGCACCTTGGCAATACGCCACAGAGTGCCTTTCCCAGCATGGGCATGTAATAGTGATCGAATCAGTTGTATGTACGGAGCACGGAGTACGGGGTACTGCATGTTGTGTGGTCATCAAGCGTATTTGCTGGCGAGGAGCTGAGTCTCCACCATTTGAATCGAGGAGGGAACGATTCATGATCGCGCGTTGCTTGTTGTGCTTCCTTCCTTGCTTCCCTCCTTCCTTTCATTTCTACCCCGCTTCGCATTATGAAGTTCGGGCAGTGGCTTGATTGATTGTCTTCCCAACCGAGTTCAGGTTCATATCGGCTTGCCAGTACATGCATTTTGCAGCTTCAGATGACCCGTCAGCGACTAAGTTGACGTGGACGAGCCACTTAACGAAGGGAGCTTGTTTTGTTTGATTGCTGGGTTTCAGGTTCAATGGCCCATATTTTGCACATCATCCACCCACAGACGATTAATTGGGAAATTCTGCAAGTGCAAGTCGATCTGATTTCGTCCTTGTGCATTAGTTGAACTCAAACTACTCCGTGCCACGGGGCGGATGGGAGGGATATTCTCCCCAGCATGCAGCCCCAACATCAGTCGGAATGCAAATATGAACTTTCTACTCCGTACAAGAGGCGTTGTCAGGCAGTCACTTCTGGTGCAAAGCATTGAGACACGATTGGCCCTGACCACATAGTATATACCAGGGATCTTCTTCAGCTTCGATTGATCAGCCACCCCCACGCATGGGGTTTGACTGAAGACCTCGCAAATGAGACATTTTGTTGGTGCAGGGCAAGGAGGTTCCTCATGATGAAAAGAAGCGCTATTTGCTGTCTTGTTTCTGTTGGTCACAGCACGTCTATCAAACGCACGTGGACCCAATGATGGAACCGCAGATAGCGAAGAAGCCAGGACATCTAGAGCGACTGTGTTACGATTGACACCATCTCTGCCGTTAGTGCTTGAGGGAACATACGCAGATGCAGGCTTGATCTTCGCCGAATGCGTTCTGCAGTGACACAACTGCTAGTTGGAGTCTTGCACCTAAACCTGGGTGAAGCATCCCAATATTCCCGTCATCAGTCCAATACGGTCCTACTCAGGTTTTATGACGAGTGTGTTGAGCCTCAAGCGAGTTTCAGTCTAGTCCAGCCCATTTTGGCTGCTTGAGGAATTGGTGGCGGGTAATGCACCATTGGAAGAACTAATTCAGATTAATAGTTCTCGGTGCCTTTGATTCGGAAGGAACATCTTCTCCACATTCATTAAACTAAAAGCCGCAAGTCAAAGAGCTGCGACACGTTTTCGGCACATTTTCTCATAATTTCATTCACGTCGTTTTTCCTTTCGGATGTGTTCCGTACGGCAAGATCCAAGGCACGGCCGAAAGGCTACTAATCGGATATGTTCGTATGCGGGGGTGGAGATCCGCAGCGGACGACCATCCCAAGATCTCGCAATCAGACCCCCTCATTTCCAACAACAACTACTACGAAGCTGTATTCGATGCTTGCTTTGGTCTTGATTCGCTATGTATGAACGCCAGAGAGTCTGGCGGGCCTGCCAGCCATGCCGTAGAAAGAAGATCAAATGTGACGGAGAGCAGCCTTGCAGAAGCTGTAATAAGAGCCAGGCAGATTGTGCCTACGCTGAGCCGTCCAGTAACATGCGGATGGCCGATCCTCAGTAAGACCGAGTCCATTGTGGGAAGTTTGACGCAGATGGAGTACAGTGCTAACCTGAGTTCATAGGTATGTCATGAAACTCGAAAGCCGACTGATGTCAATGGAGAAAAAGCTGCAGGAACATAACTCGGCTGGTCGTTGCGCAAATGGAGAATCAACTACAGCTGAAGCTGAGACTGGAGGACCAGCATTCTGCAACAGTCTCCAGGGAGGCCCTGTCGGTGACATGCAGCAAGCATCGGCCACTGGTAATACAACACCTGGGACCGATAAAGAAGACTCTGTCAACAAGACTCCAGACCAGCACAAGAGTCTAGGTTCATCAACAGGTGAATATACACTGCCAAGTGGCTTCAATGAACTTGATCAGATGCTGTATAACTGTGACGAAACCCTTGTGCTAGAGGAGCCACCTAGTCCCCAGAGCAATTTCGAAGACGTTTCAAGCTTGCCACGGACCTTGATCGACGTCTTGGTTGGCCAGTTTTATCACAAAACCTACTCAATATTTCCCATCATTAGAGAACCTGAATTTCGACACCAGTTAGATCAGTGGGCTGCCACGGGGCAAGACGGAAGCGGCTTCATGCCTGTTCTATATGCTCTTCTGGCCGTCTCTGCTTCCATTTTGCCCGACGACCACGCCGTCTTCGAATTGCCCGAGGTGAGAGGATATAAATCGCTCGACCTTGGGGATTTGATCTCATCGCATGCGAATTCACAACTGTCTCTCAAGTCATGCAAAGCTGACAAACTCGCTCGCATCAACTCAGTCATTGCACATGGGCTTTTAAGTCTGTACTTGGCGGAGGCTGGCCAGGTGACTGAAGCATGGGTCACGACAGGTCATGCTATACGACTGTACCAAGGATTAGATTTGTATGATGGTGCTTCGTCGAGCAATGAGTCTGTCGATTCACCAGGCGGGCACAGCGCCATATGGTGGTGCCTGTACATACTCGACCGATCTCTTTCGACGGTCCTGCTCAAGCCGCTCGCTATCGATGATGTGGAGTGCGACGTGAGTTCTACCGATGACGGAGAAAGCCACATATCAGTCTCGGAGGATGAGGTTGACCCATGGTTCTCCGTCATAACAGGATTTCACATCACTATGGGCAAGATTTACAAGTCTGTACGCTCATTTCGAAAGCTCCAACACACTGACAAGAGCGACTCCAACGAAATATTGGTTTCTCGTCTCAAGAACCACGACATGGAGCTGGAACAGTATTATGAGAAGCAGGTTCTTCCAAACATGAGGAATAACCCAGATGATCCGCAGCGAATGGGCCTGCAGACTATTGCCGTGTCTTCGTATTTCATCGGCGTGGTACTTCTCTATCGTCAATTCATTGAAATGTTCCGTATTGAAGACCCCCAAATCTACCTTCGCTGTGCGGAGGCTGCATCCAATTGCATTCGGCTTACACCAAAGGTCTTAGATACCGTTCCCGCAAGCCATTTTATGATTCAGCAAAGCCGGTCAATATATGTGGGCTCCAAGGTCTTGTTGCACTGCATGCGTCTAGTACGGAATGAAAGTTTTAGTAATAAGGCTTGGGATGATGTTCACATGGGATTAGAAATGTTGCGAAAGATCAAAATCCAGTGGCCGGAGATCAAAAAGTATCAGAAGCTCACGGAAGACGATATGCGACTTACCAAATCCGAGTTGGATAGACATGAGACCTTTGGCAAGACATTTGACGGATTCACACCTCTATCTGGGGATGAGATCTACTATCGGCTCTCCAGCTCAAACCGGTCCTTGAGCAACGGGGGTCTTGGCTCAGCTACCGGACATTGCCGTGACACAGACGATACTCGCGATATCCATCGTAAATCTAAGCGGCAGAAACCATCAGCTCCTTGTAATTCACTCAGCCCTGATTTGTCAGGCTTATTTCAAGCTGGTGGAAGCGAGATGGGAGATGACGATTTTACAATGTCATTCATGCTAGACCTAGCAGCATTTACACCAACAACTGCATTGGCATCTACCAACTTATACGAAGATGGGGTCAGCTGAGGTAGAAATCGGGAACAATCCAGATGAAAAAAAAAGGGCGGCGGTAAAGAATTTTATTCAGGCGGAAATAACTTCCTCCAACTCCCACATATGTCAATATGGCGGTGCCGTCTGGCCACATTCTCTACACTTGCGAGTCTCCTCGTTGGTCATCCAGTCATCAATCACAAGCTTCAGCTGTGTCTCAATATCTTCACAGTAAAATTGTTCATGCCGAATAATGACTGGCTCCTCGCTGTGTGCTTTTTTATTAGGGCAATACCATTGCAATTGGTCGATGCTCTCCTTTGGCCGAGTTCTTTCCATGACGAGGCCAACGGTATCTTTGTATCGAATCGGCGAGTGAGGAGTGTTGCCTTTTTATTTATAGCTCTGGGTTAATGGCCTCGAACCATTTGCGATCTTTTGTTGACAGACTTACCGGGGAGGAGGAACATTTCACCCTCGCGGATATGAACATCGCGGAACTGACTGCCGTTCTCGACGATTTTTAATAGCATATCGCCTTTGAGCTGGTAAAACCATTCCTGTCCATGGAATTAGTAATATTCTGTCAGGATTGGCAAGGTTTTGGTACTTCTGTCTGATTGACTGTTCAAGGCTCTGTTAGCGATGCTTCTCGACATCAAGGCCATTGACATACCATGATAGTCACTTCTTGTGTTTGGGCCTCCAACTGCCATTAAAATGAAGTCCTTACCCGAGTACAGGCATTGATTATTCACCGGGGGCTTTAAGTTTGCAGCATTGGTAGACAGCCAGGATGACAGGACAAGTGGCCCTGCAAGAAGTGCTTCACCGGCTGTGGGAGCCATGCTTGGGGGGACTTGTCAGGGCGAGCTTCTTGTTCAGATGATGGCTGGCTGTTTCAGACAGGTACAACAAGTATCAATCTTCAACACTCTAGATGGACGAGAGAGAGCATAAGCACAGTCAAGTTGGCACGTTTCATCTGCTGCAGCCCTCCTCATCCTATAATAGTTGCGGCATTCGGCGGACGGTGGCCGGGCCGGTTCCGGCTGATGGAGTATCGGATACATCCGTGTATACGCAAAGTATGACGGCTTTGGAAATCCCTCCTACGAGCTGGACCGGAGACAGACGGCCTACATAAGACCTCATGGATGAATACACTGACTTGTTGTGTCTCTGAACTCTTCAAGATGAGCTTGATCGCATCGCCTCCCTCCTCCAGCGCCAGGTTACCCAACATGCAGTTCCACGAGCCGTTGATCAAAGTTGCCGCATGCGATTGCATGTCCGGAAACACTGACAAGGAATTCGCTTCACACACTTCACACATTGAAGGGACGTATCCCTCCAAGACGGGGTTCAGAATCGACATTCACACACACATCATGCCCCCTTCATTACCAGACATGTCGCAATTTGACGACTCGTCAAATCGCAACGAATGGATCAATTTACGACTTCACAAGCCATCTCCATCCTCTTCCGAATCGAGTTCCCCGTCCCAAAAGTTGGACATGTATGTTGGAAGGCGGTTTTTCCGGACCGTCGAAGCCAATTGCTTCGACCCCGAGACTCGCATCAAAGAAATGGATGCAAGCGGCGTGTCCGTGCAGGTCCTCAGCACGATTCCAGTTCTATTCTCGTACGACAAACCCATCAAGCCCGCGGCAATGCTTGCGCGGCTGTTAAACGACCACATTGCCTCTCTTTGCCGAGTCTACCCTAGCCGATTCGTCGGCCTCGCGACGGTGCCTCTGCAGGACGTTGCCGCCGCCGTGGAGGAGTTGAAGCGCGTAAAGGGCCTGGGGCTAAGAGGCGTCGAGATTGGCACCGAGATAAACGGACGGGAGCTGGACGACCTGGACATGGAGCCGTTTTGGAAAGCATGCGAGGAGTTGGACATGGCTGTTTTTGTGCATCCGCTAGGCTACGAGCTCGCCAGGGAGAACAAGAGATGGGCCAACTACTGGTCTGCTTGGCTGATTGGGATGTGAGTCTGCCTCGACGTGTACAACAACTTTCTCTCTCACTTTACGCTAATGCCTGCATTCTACAGGCCGAGCGAAACGGCTCTCGCACTGCACGCAGTCGTCTCGTCTGCCGTGCTCGTCCGCCACCCCAGGCTGCGTCTCTGCTTCGCCCACGCCGGCGGCGCATATCTCCCTCTCCTTGGGCGTATTCAGCACGGCTACGACTGCCGGCCTGATCTGGTTGCTCACAAGGCCGAGGGCGTATCGCCGACACGTCAGGTGGCCCTTGGTCAGAGGAACATCTGGATAGACAGCCTGGTGCACGACCCGGACCTGTTAGAGTACATGTGCAAGAAGATTGGGCCGGAACGTGTAATTATGGGTAGCGACTATCCGTTTCCGTTAGGGGAAGTCCCTCTTCCAGGACAGATGATATCTACGGACGAGCGGGTGAGGGGATTCTTGTCCGAGGAGAGGAGAGAGGCAATGTTGTGGCGGAATGCGGTTGAGTTTTTGGGCTTGCACGATTTGGTGAGGGAGTACAAGTATTGACATGTAGACCTATTCTGATTTCAAGGTAGTAAGTTTGATCGTGTGGCATGTTTTTTTTCATTTGGTAATCTATGCATGTAGAATGCCAGTTTGACCCTTTGAATCCTGTAATACAACACCACTCTTACTCAATCCCTGCTGCCATGGTCGCTTCGGATGCATCCGAGTCTGTGTGAGCACCACATGCTACGCCGCTTGGCGTCACGGACGGCATAAAACAGCATCAAGCCGCCTCTACACTGTGATGCGAAACAAGATACATGACACATGACACATGACACATGACCTTATTCCGAAATGGACACGATCGCAACGCTTTGGAACGCCGACACCCCAGATGCGGCCGAGGCTCTTCTCCAGACCACCGCCGCCAAACCTCTCCGTCTACAAAATTTTGTGGCCAACGAATTCTATAAAGCCTCCTCATCCGTCGACGCGCTAGAGTCCTTCAACCCTAGGACCGGCAAGGTACTGGTTCATGTGCCATCTAGCTCCGCAGCAGACGTAGACCAGGCCGTCGATGCGGCAGCCACTGCGTTCCCTTCCTGGTCCCGGACCCCAAGGCAAGAAAGGGCCCGCTTGCTACAGAAAGTCGCCCATCTAATCCAAGAGAACAAGAATCTGCTTGCTGTATGGGAGAGCATAGACCAGGGCAAGACGCTGGCTCGGGCAGAAGCCGAGGTTGACAGAGCCGCAACGAACTTCAGGTATGGCCTCGTCGCACCTAATTCCCCCTCTACGCCGTCATGAAAAACTTTGGACTAACACCGCCCAACACTGCTACAAACAGCTATTTTGCCCAGTTTATTCTCGCTGAGGAAGGGACCGTCCGCTACGTAGACGGCGAGTCACCCGTCATGGCGTATGAGCACCGGTCACCAGCGGGCGTGTTCGGCCTCATCACGCCGTGGAACATGCCGCTGTACCTGCTGACGTGGAAGATTGCGCCCTGCCTGGCATTCGGGTGCGTTGCCGTCGCAAAACCCAGTGAAGTGACGAGCGTCACTGCCTTCTGTAAGTCCACCACGGACCCGGGGCAGAAGCACGTGTTTGCCACATATCTGACTCTGGCCAAGTACTTTGCGAGATATTCCGCCAAGCCAAGCTCCCCCCCGGCGTGATCAACATGGTGTTTGGCAAAGGGGCCACGGCGGGCTCGGCACTCGTCACGTCTCCCAAAGTCCGCGGGGTTTCATTCACAGGCGGCGTGGGCACGGGGATCCGCATCCGGCAGGATACGGCTGCCGACGTGGGCAAGCACATCTCCCTGGAGCTGGGGGGGAAGAATCCCAACTTGATCTTTGAGGATGTCGAGATGGGCAAGGCGGTCCGTCTCGCGGCCAGGGCTGCTTTCGAAAACAGCGGCCAGATATGCCTCTGCGGATCGAGGATTTACATTCACCGCTCTCGATATGAGGAGTTTCTACCGGCCTTTGTGGGCTATGTGAAGCAGAATTATATATGCGGAGGGACACTAGGGCCCGTGGTTTCGAGGGAGCACTACTCCAAGATACGGTCTTACCTGGCTTTGGCGCAAAAGGAGTCGGCTACATTCCACCTGGGTTCTGTTCCTGAAGAGGACCCCCAAGGCGGATACTGGATACCCCCCGTGGTATTGACGGGGCTTTCCCAGGAGAGCCGGGTGATCCAAGAGGAGATTTTTGGTCCCGTGGTTACTGTGTCTACGTTTGAGACAGAAGACGAGGCAATTGCTCTGGCCAACGACAATGCCAATGGTCTGGCGGCGGTGGTCATGACCAACGACGTATCAAGGATGCGGCGCGTTGGAGAGCGAATCGATGCGGGCTTGGTGTGGGCGAATTGTTGGCTGGTGAGGGAGTTGGGGACGTCGTTTGGCGGCCTCAAGGCAAGCGGCGTCGGCAGGGAGGGAGGCGTGCACAGCAGAGAGGTGTTTACGAATCTGAGGACCGTTCACGTGCCTTCAAGTTGGTGACTGCAGCCATGATGATTGTGATTAGGGGGTGGTTGATTACACGCAGTGCGGTGCAAAAACAATCGAGGCAGCCGCGCATCACATTCTCCGTGTCGCACTTTCCTCGTGCTCTTCTCGCTGCTCTCAACTGACATATGTACTCGGATGCATCCGAGCGGGGCAATTCCGCAGACGCCTTCTTGTTAGTTACATTACACATCTCATAAATACCTAAATATGCATGTTTCGGCTCTCGAATCCCGTCCATATCTTGCTTGTTCACTCAATTATAATCGCGCTAGTCCTTTCAGTTCTGGAAAAATGCACGACTCTCCCAACGGAAAACCCTACTTTCGCCCTTCTGCCCACGCCCAAGGCCTGGCAAACTACCCTCACGCACGCATCGTCCCCTCCGCCAACGCCCACACCATCTACGTCTCCGGAACCTCCTCCCGCCGCGGCGACGGAACTTTTGCTGGCGCCGACTATAAAAAGGATGAGTCTGGGAGCACTTCACTGCAGCTGGACATTCGGCAGCAAACCGAGGCCGTCCTGTCAAACATGAGCGAAATCATCAAGGGCGCCACAGACGGCAAAGCAGATATGAACAATGTCGTCGAGGTCAGTGTTTTCTTGGTAAACATGGAAAGGGACTACAAGGGCATGAATGACGAGTGGAACCGCGTCTGGCCGGATCGTGCGCTGGCGCCGGCCAGGACAACGGTGGAAGTGAGAGCTCTGCCCCGGCCCGAGATACTGGTGGAGATGAAGTGTGTTGCTCACCTGGCAACAGACTGAATGAAACAAATTGCAATAGATGTAGTATTTCTCAGCATGGGAACCTAGTCAATCTTTACAAGAAGTTTCCCCGTCGTCAGTTGTGAAGCAAGGTCATCCTGCGCCCTCCCGAGCGTGTCCAACGTGTACATGCCTCCCAGCTCTATCTTGACAGCACCCGAGCTTACAAGTCCCGACAACTCTTGCCATCTTTCTTCAAACTCCTCTCTTTCTGTAATGTAATTGGCCAGAGTCGGCCTCACAAGCTTCACATTCCTCTTGCTCAGCGCCAGAATACCAAAAGACGACACAACACCACTACTATTCCCATACGACACCAGCGTGCCTTTGCGCCGTGTGCAAGCCAAATCGGCCTCAAAGGTAGCAGCGCCCACGCCACTCAGCACGGCATGGCAGCCCTCCCCATCCGTCAAATGATCAACTTCCCTCTCGACGTTGACATCTTTGTAGAGAATGACGTGGTCACAGCCATGTTTTCTCGCCACCTGCGCCTTCTGCTGCGTAGACACCGTCCCGATTACCGTGGCACCGAGATGCTTGCACATTTGCACAAGGAGTCCGCCTGTGCCTCCCGCTGCCGCCTGCACAAGAACGACCTGTCCGGCTTCCACCCGATGCGCGTCGCGGACCATTGTCCACGCCGTCAGGCCCTGCAGCGTGATTGCCGCGCCGGACTGCGTCGATACCGAGGGGGGCAGTTTCGCGACGCCCGATGCCGCGGCGGAAACGTATTCCGCCATGGTTCCCTGCGTGAAAACCGCCACGCGATCGCCAACGTTGAAGTCCGTGGTCGGGCGGACATGGGGGCCGACGCCGACGACGGTGCCGGATCCTTCGCGACCGGCTGTGAAGGGAAGCGGCATGGGGTATACACCCGCTCGCTGGTATATATCGATGAAGTTGACTCCCGCGTATTCGACTTTGACCAACACGTCCCGGTCGCCGATGGCTGGAATTGCCAAATCGGTTTCCTGTCGTAGCACCGAAGAGTCGCCCGTTTGACGGACGCGAATGCCCTTCATAGTGGCTGGGAGAGACATTGGTACTTCAAATGATGTGCTATTAGATCGATTATGAGCAATATTTGTCCCGTCTTTCGACCACTTGATGGTTCACTACGGAGTATACACACAGTTTTTCCATTTTCCGTCTTGGATATAATTTCCCAACACGGCAATAACCCCACACCGGGTCCGGACCGGCATCCGTGTGGAGGGAGGAAGGCGGACGTGGCTGCCGGATAGCGCCGTGACTGGCTGGAGAAGGCCGCCTCGTCCCGTCTTGCTGCACATGCCAGAGCGTCCAGCATCCCTAGTCAGCCAGGAGGCAGCCAATAGTGACACCGGCCATCAGACCCCATGAATTTCATACAGCATCTTTTGGATGTACAGGCGAGAGCAAGACGCTGTCAACCTGGAGGAATGAGATGCCTGCTTACTGTGGCGGTGCTTCATGTGCGGCGTCCTACTGGTAGCCTCTGCCAACGGCACAAGCAGAGCTATGTCACGTCGATGGACTAGACTGAAATGATAACGGCATTCCATTTTAGCCCAGGTAACTAATAGACCAAGACGGAGAGATGGCCGACTATCTGTATGAGCTTCAAGTACGTTCTCTGCCAAGCGTAAGTGGGATGGCAGGTGTAGTTGCTGCCGTTACCGCTGGCCTTGGCTACTAGGCTTTGGTGATGTGTTGCCAGTGTGCCGGCTGGGCGGTCTTGGTGCGTGCTGGTGTTCGGAGGAATTGGAGGCCAGCGGTGGCTTGAGGGTTGGAAATTGAAGTCCAGTGATGGCTTCGCCAGGGATGTTCGCTCCGAGGTAACGGCAGCAACTACACCTTCATAGGCGAAGTAGGCGGAAGGATCAGTGATTGCGTTCCCGCTGTAGCTAGAGATTCTGTTTTCTGCCTGTAGCCGCTGATATTCGTCTTGGACGAGTTCCATTAGCAGATCCAGGCAGAAAACAGGATCTCTAACGACAACGACAACGCAATCACCAACCCTTCTTCCTACTTCGCGCATGGAGGTGTAGTTGACTCTTTGTACTATCAGGACACGATGACGCTACCTAAAGCTTAGGCGCCGTCACCTACGCCGTTCATCAGAGACGGGATACCTGTCGATACGATGACCATGTGTGAAAGGGGATGCCTGACGATTGTACCACTGTCGCGTAAACTACCTCCGTCTGTAACTCGGTAAAAGTCTTCAAAGCGACGGAGCGTGTCCCTCAAGAGAGAAAGCTGGTCGAGGATAGCCATTATCAGGCGACCTCTCAACACACATCTAGCGATGGGACGGGGTCAAGAAAGTGGTCACTAGGATAGCTGGGAAATAATACAAGACCGCCTTGGCTTCCCGACTCAAAGAAAATTGTATGGCAGAAGAGGCCACACGAGCCATTGGGCAGCTAAAGAGATTAGAAGAATAGGAAAGCGGTAGGTTTCTGCGGATCGTTCTGACCCGCACGCACATACATATTGACCCCAAATACTCCGTAGTCGACTAACCGACGCAGAACAATTAATCCGCGAATCGAATCCCGAACCACGATTTAGGCGGCACATGACTGGCCAATGAGCCGGCTTACCCCCCTGGACCAAGGCTGCCAAGACGGCGGCTGGTCCATCGTCTCGGTCCAGCATCTGGTTCACCATCAGCCTCCACTGCCATTATTCACAGAATGCTGCCTTTTCCGACCGACATCGAACCGAACAGGGAAGCATCTAGGATCCATGTTTGCGCCACGACGGTCAATGAATGTAACCCCGCGCCGAGCCCAAGCTTGATATGGTAACATTGGTCGCTAGCGGTGACTGGCGATACGCCCTCACTGTCAGCTTTGGTTAACAACTAGGCAATATGGACACGCTACCTTGACATCGAACTCGGCCCTTGGTCTGAATTCTGTCGCTCAAGATGAATATCTACGCCGGCAAACCACATCCTTGTCCCCTTGACCAAGACCTATCGGGTTAATGGTCCTGCAGCGCCCACACGACGTGACTAGCGGAGGAATACAACAACCAACGGCAAGGCAAAACTACTTTTGCATTTACTTTGAAACCCATCCTCCCTATAAATAGCATCCCTCAAGGTCGCAAATCCCAAGGCCTTGCCAACCAATTCGCACCAGCCCCTAGTCATATCGTCATCGTTCGTCTTCATCATGGTTGCTATCAAACATGTCATCGCTGCCTCCCTGGCCCTCGTCACCCCCCCCGGAGCGCTGGCCTCCCGAACGTTTTACAATTCCGGCACTCTCAACGGCTGGGACTATGTTCGCAAAGAGCACAAAGGAACCGTCGACCAGGTTACCAACGTCGTCTACAAGGGCAGCTCCGCTCTCAAGATGACACAGACCTACGACTCCAACTACCATAACCGCTACCACGCCGAGGTCGACCACAACTACGGCTACAAACGCGGCGATTCTTCCTTCTATGGCTTTGCATTTCGTCTCTCCGACACGTGGGACTTCCAAGACCAGTCCTACAACATCGCCCAGTTCATTGCCAACCGCCCTGGAGCAGGCTGCGGTGGAGATGACTGGATGCCGAGTACCATGGTGTGGGTGCAAGGGAATCAGCTGTTCTCTCGAATTGTGACTGGCCACTATCGCCAGCCGAACTGCGGTAGGAACATCGACACCCTTCGAAACCTTGGCCAGATCAGTGCGGGACAGTGGCACAAGGTAATTATGCAGGTCAAGTGGGCCAGTGACGGCTCTGGATTCTTCAAGATTTGGCTCGACGGAAACAAGGTGGTTGAGAGATACAACACTGCCACAACCATTGATGATGACAGCGTTTTCCAGTTTCGTGTGGGATTGTATGCGAACAGCTGGCATGACGACGGCTATATGAAGGGCAACCAAGGCTTTCGTCAGATCTGGTACGATGAGATTGCCATGGGAACCGAGTTCATGGATGTCGACCCTGACCAGCAGTAAAGTGTGCATTTTCGTCAAGACAGGGCGGCAAACATCGTAAATACCTGGCTTCAGTAGTACATAGTCCCAACCAATTTCAACCACTGTCGACTTTGTTAAACTTGAGAGAGTCCGGGTGTAGTTAAATGAGTGCTTCAGGAGATATGTAGTCCGACCCGCGGTGGTTCACATTTGATGTAAAAGCAACTCGTCCAATGGCCCTAATATATCCCGGGGACGGGCACCGGCTGTAGTAATCAGATTCAGTTGAGACTTGGAACTTCTCCAGTCCTAGCCGAGCGAAATTGTAAGGGTGGCTGACTGTCTTCTCTTCAATAGTGAAAAGATTGCCTATCAACGTGATATCGGCAGGGACGCAGCTGTAGCTATGAATTGCATTCTCTATGCCGCTGCAGAAAGAAGTATGAAGGAGTGTCGTCCCTTGTCATCTCTAATCTGTGAAGCGTAATTCAAAGACTGTAGATGAAACTAAAGACTCGGCTCCATCAGACGGCGTGGAAATCGAACGCTGTGGCTGGAGCCCTTGCAAGGCATTCGTAATGCTGAGGTTGAGAAATGATACGCCTTTTCTTTATCGGTTGTCCATTATCTTCATAACCTCATCCTCCTCGTCCTCCTTCCCTTCACCGTTGGTTACCTGTAATCCCCTCTTCCTCATCTCTCCCTCGATCAATTTCCTGGTCAGCATTCCCTTAAATAGTTCGGGTGTCTCCTCTTTTCTTTGTCGAAACCACCCCTCAACACTCCTCATGCCAACTACGAGGAATCCCAACTCCTCTCTGTCCACGTCAAAAACCTCCCACCAATCACAGTCTGGCATCTTAGCCCCTACGTCTCTCGCAGCGTTGTATATTGCTGCAGTGGCAAGCGCATTCGGCTGGTGGGTAAGGTATAACATCTGCGGGCTTAGCAGCGCCGTGTTGAGATGCTGAATCGTCTTTCGTGAGATGCTGGATTTTGGCTGGGATAAAAAGTCCATTGTTTGGAGGTAGGTTATAGCCAAGGCGTGCGGGAGTGCAGCATGGGTGTTGAATGTCAAGGCATAGAGGATGCGCGATTCAAGTGCGAGGAGGCGGTTCTGGAATGAGAAGTAATCGGCTTCGGATTGGTAATATGTCTTCGGGTCATTTTTAGGCACATGTCCAGTTTTAAAGAGTGTAGAGCTCGAGGAAAGGAGGTATGCGTATACGTTAGACACGTCGCGTGGTGATCGAGGAATGGGGCCGACTTTTGCGACGAGATAGATTGCTGCTGCTGAGGCGTCCTGGCAAGTGTTAGCTACCATAGTTGGACATGTTGGGAGACGGTGGCTGGTAGAGAATCGCACGCTGAATTCATGTGCCATTGGCGAATCTACAAGCCAGTACCTCGCGAGAATAACGTTGGCTCGTGCCGTCACAGACTGGGGTAGGTCGAGAAGCTGTCCCGCGGCTTGCGTAAGGCATTGCGTGGCGATGAAGATGGATTCCTGGAGATCCTGTGGTAGGGAAGACAGGACGGTGTGCTGGTACAATTGCGACGTGGTCGCCAGAGGGTTGGCGAGATGGGCCATTGTTGCGCAAGGGGAGACGATGTGGTGATGCTCATTGAAAGCAGTTGGAGTAGCAGAGGCAAAGAGGATTGATTCAAGGTGCATGTGGGTCAAATCCTGGTTGCGCGACAGGCATCAGCGCCTCTCTGTCAGTAGAGGAAGAGACTGGCCTCCAGTGCCGTGGGAAGGAACCTGGCAGTTGGCAACTGCTTCGCTCCTCCTCTTTCCCAACGAAAGGTGGGAACAGCAATATGGCACTGGGGGGTCGAGATTTTCCAGCGAGGTCTAGCCGACAGATTTCTTAAACCTGCATCGGTTGATCCTCTCTCTCGTCGTGTCCGGCATGCTGCCTCACTACATGTGCCAACCAGCAATTTGCCTAGTCTCAGCCCACGCCTAGCTACTTCTTGTTGTCACAAAATGAGATTACTGCCCATTGCAAACAGCGTAGTCCACCTGTCACAGACGGAATTTGGCTTCGAGGGTACACGCTAACTTTGCATGGTAGGGCTGGCAAGCTGGGTCGCTGGCGATGCCCTCTCGCGAAGTTTCGAATCTGGATCTTAGAATGGTGTGGACCAGCCTAGAAAACTTTCTTCCGCGGCTCACAGCTCACGCCGCCCGCCGCTAGTGACATCGATCCAAACTTCAACCTTTGCCAATTCTCAACGCGTCTCTCATGCGGCCATTTCTCATAATTTGATGCTTACATACCTTGTATTAGTGCTGAGGCTTTCTTTAAAGCCTACAGGTTCCTCAGGGATGGAGCTGTAGCCGTGCTCAATTGGGGTATCGGCGAAGAATTGCCTCGGGTAACCTGCTACAGAGCACTGTGTTTTTAATACTGGTACGAACACGATCAACCTGCACACAGTTCGACTGAACGACGTCTTTGACAACGTCAACGTTCGCGATGAAATCTGCTACAAATACTGTGGCAGGTACTGTCGCCAAACGGCGCATAAGGCCAGGTAAACCAAAAGTCAAGACTGGGTGTATTACATGGTACGTGTTCTTTCCTGAGGCCCATGCTAGTTCTTAAAGGCTAACTCGTCTCAGCAAGTGAGTTGTACTGGAAAGAAACAGCACCGCCGTTATACTAACGTATTTTGTAGAATCCGCCGGGTCAAATGCGATGAAGCAAAGCCAGCCTGTGTGCGATGTACCTCGACAGGCCGGAAATGCGACGGCTACGACATCAATGCAAACCCCAGATCTCGCAAAAATGAGACTACGGAAAACTCACTGCATCAGCGCCAAATCACCATGCTACCTGCCACCTCATCAGCTTTATCAATACCAAGGCCGCTGCTCGCAGACATATCGGGAACTGAGATAGAGCGCTTCTACTTCCATTGCTTTAGGGCCGTTGCAGGAGAAGCAGTTGGCATTCGCCACAAGTACAACTCCTTGTTCTGGAAAGAATCGGTCCCGCAGTATTGTTATGCGGTAGAATCTATGAAGCACGCCTTTATTGCATTTGGGGCAGCGTACCACAATTTCCAAACGACTGGAGAACGAGTTGATCCCACCGCCCCGCCAAGCAAAACTGAACGCTTCATTATCCAACAATATAGCTTAGCCATGAGTGGGCTGGCACGGGATACACAACAGGTCGATGTTCGCAGAAGATACGGAATTACTCTCATCAGCTGCATTGCATTCTTCTGCATAGAAATGCTTCGGAATGATTGGAAAGCAGCCCTAACCCACTTATCTAATGGCCTCCAACTCATGGCGAACCTACCAGAAGAAGTGTCTGACGTTTTGCAGAACCCTGAAAAATGGAATCAAGGGTCGAATAACTCTCATGTGAGGGTTTTATATTTGTTCCGACTATTATCAAGGTGGGAGGTGGCGATGAGATTAGTAACAGGTGACTTCCGGCCGCGGCTGACGTTACAAACATATGAAGCTCGAAAACTTGATGCATCAGTCGGCACGAAATTTAGCTCGGTGGAGGATATCTACGAAGCTGTGGACAGCTATTGCCAAGACGCCAGCGCATTTACCTGGTTGACAAGAGGCCACCACGGCGATACACAATTCTGGGCGCAACATTACACCAAGCTTCAACACTCTGTTTTAATGGAGCGCTCTCGTTTGATCGGAAATAATATATCTCTTTATCAGAACAATCCCGATATGAAGACTCTTGAAATACAGGACATCATCTTCTTCAATGCCTGCAGACTCCGTCACAAAGGAGCCACTCTTATATTAAAAATGCTTCCGTTACCCGAAAAGCCTGACGGGTCGCATGAGCTCGAAGAGATAACACAATTCGAAGATTTCATTCGCGCAGCCATTAGTCTACGAGATATCCTGACTGGCTCGGCAACAGAAAAACTCACGGGAGACAACGCAAACGTCGATCTTGCAGTCGTGCCGACTCTATATGTTACAGGGAGCAGCTGCCGGGAAGAAAGGTTAAGGAAGAAGATTTTGGGTCTAGCCATGGAGTGGCCGAGACGAGAAAATTTGTGGGACGGGCCAGCGCTGCGACATATGTTTGATATCAACGGGATTAGATCAAGTGAAGTAAGAAAGTTGGTGACAGAGTCAGGGAGTGAGACGGTGCAGTGGTCCGGCTGTCCGCCGGGTATGTGGTTCTGATAACTGCTGACTTGAATTTGGACAGTTGCGTCTGGGCGGCGTTTCTGTAATGTCAATTCTGTTCCAAATTACGTGTTGCTTGGGGTCTGGCTGTATTCTGAAATTCTGTTTGGGACTCTGGGTCGGGTTGACATGCCAAGCTGGAATATAAGATTGCTGTAGCTCAATAATTATAACACATCGCAACGCTATATACGCGGTTTCACCTTGCAAGAGCTTTGAGCATCACCAAAACCGTAGCCTTCTTCGACGCGCGATGAAAACCACTTGGTGTATGGACCAAGAGCAGCTATGTTGAGGAGTCTGCCGGCAGCATACTAGTTATTTTCGGAAGAGGATTCAAGCCCCCAGAATCGTCACTTACACGAGCTAGCTCAAGCCAAGTGGGGCCGAGCATGTCCCAAGGAAGGAGCGAGTTGGTGGATCTGGTAGCTCCCCACGCAATCGAGCCTCAAATCATCCCGCCAACCTCCATCCAAGCTTTTAACCACTCCACGATATCCCGACTCCCACCACGTCCAACGCCATCCGCAACCCATTGCACACTCTATGGCCCTCTACAATTAGTCTCAAAAACAAAAGCTTTCTCTAATTGCTAGCTACCACTTCTCGGCCGCCGTAATGGCCGCCTCGGGGCCGCCGTCCCCCATCTCAGAGAAGCAAGCCTTCGACCTCAACCTCCAACACGGACACAAGGACCTCGTCCAAGCAATCGCCTTCAACACCTACGGCGACCGCTGCGCCACCGGCTCAGTGGATGGCAAGATCCGTGTCTTCAACAGACATAAAGACGGCACCTGGCGGCTATGCGACACATGGACGGCCCACGGCGGTGAAGTTCTAGAAGTACGTTCCGTCCCCTGCGCCCTCCGTCTCGGCCACGTTTCTCTTTTCTAGCCCTCAGCCCTTCCTACTAACTCTCTCCTTCTCTCTCTCAACCGCGCAGCTTCAATGGCTCCCCGCAACGATATATCCCAACCTTGTCGCCTCTCTCGGCATCGAAGGCTGGTTCCGGCTCTGGGCGGAAGACCCCTCAGCCGCGCCAGGCCGCCGCTTCTGCGCAGGCCGCTCCGTCGGCGGGCGGCCAGCCTTTGACACGCGCTCGACGCGCGCGCCCTACCGCTCTTTCAGCATGAAGCACAACGAGGAGACGCGGCACACGTACCTCGCGCTCCTGGCGACCGATGGCCGCCTCACCGTCTACGAGAACGACCAGCCCGAGAACCTGTCCGAGTACACGTCCATCGACGAGTTCAGCGTATGCAGCAAGCCTAATCGCGGCGAGGAGGCCTCCTTCAAGGTGCGCTTCGACCCGAACCCGGAGCCGTGCTACGCGGCGCTGCGGGCCGGCGTGGGCGCAGACTCCCTGGGCATCGTGGTCGCTGGCATGGACACCGTCAAGGTCTACCGGTCGCGCGACATCGTCACGGCTTCTTACGGGGTCGCCCAGACGCAGAAGGAGTTCTACCTCGCGGCCGAGATACACGGGCACCGGGGCCTCGTGCGGGACGTGGCCTGGGCGCCGGGCAACATACGGGGGTACGACGTGATCGCGACGGCCTGCCAGGACGGCTACGCGCGCGTCTTCCGCGTCGACACGCCCTTCTCCGACGACGACGGCAAGTCGTGGTCCGCGGGCGACTTGCTCAAGTCCAGGGGCCACACATTGTCCGCCAGGGACTCGCCGACAAAGGACGAGGCCGCCGAGAAACACCCCCACCCGTCGACGCTGAGCGCCAGTCTTGCCAAGTCTGGTAATGCGGGCGATAGACAGTGGTCCGGGCAGCCGGGCCAGGTACACCATACACACAGGGAAATTTCGAGACTGGACAGTCATAGGACGCCCGTGTGGAGGGTGGGCTTTGATGACGATGGACAGATATTCGGTAGCACAGGGGATGACGGACGGCTGTTGTTTTATAGACAGACGCCAGACGGGGTGTGGGCGAAGAGTTCAGAGCTGGTCATGGTCAAGGCAAGGATGGCGACACCTTGACAACGTTTACGTGGTGATGCATCTTTCGAACGGGAATCAACAAATTTACGACTAGGAACCGCGGTTATTGGAGTCATCAGGTGTTGCCATAGCACAGAGACGCAATTCGTGGCAAATGAAATATGCGAATATGCCTTTATGAAGCCAAAGATGGGGAGCGCAACCCATCAAGTGTACCAAGCTGCTGACTGTCATGATGTGAGCAATCGTGTACTTGTTTTCAATGAGTTACCAATGGACAATGTCACAGGTGGAACAATTGGAATCCATTTCTCGCAATAAAATATGTTTAATGGGGTCAGTAGTGCAAGGGCTGCGGACCACAATACACCTTTGCTGAAGGATATCTATACACAACCGTCTCCCCTTGACAGCATTGCCTTCTTTTTTTCAGTCTCTGTTGGTCACCATTGAGCATCATAACTCAGCAGGCACAAATCGACACTGACACATAATTCGAATTCGCCCATAACGCCGGTTTCATGATTTGCAGATTCCGTTTGCTAATAGTTCCACCATGATGCATAATTGTTTCCCTTGTCTCTTCCCCCGCCATTACCACGCTAGAAATTCAAGGACTCAAGTCGTTGACGAACATTATTTTTTTTGTACTTCACTTTGCTCAACCCTTCAAGCGGCATCGGCGCTGGCGACGGGCTGAGAAACCTTAGTGACCTGGGTCCCGGCACGGTGAATTCGCTGACCAGCGGAGTCATTCATATAAGTGACATCCTTGTTTTCAAACTGGGCACGTTTCCAGATCTCAACCTCGCATCCACCACGGAGAACACCAACACGCATGGTGGACAAGAGATTATGGGCAGCGTTGGAATGGGTGTAGACACCACCGTTAAAGATAGAAGTGGCGTCCTTGCCGATAGCGGATGAGATGAGGGCTTTGCCACCAGGATGATCCTTGATAAAGTCGGTCACGTCATGTATGACACCAGCAATAGCAACAAGAGCCTTGCCGTTCTTGGACTCGGCGACAAAGTCATCCCAGCTAATAACGGGCAGCTGCTCGAGAGGCGTACCCCAGTCGAGGGTGGCGCGCTTCTGGTCGAGCTTCTTCTGCAGCTGCTGCACACGGCCTTTTTCGATTTCGTTGGCACGGAACTGTTTGAGGTCATAGGCAAGACCAAGCATCTTCCAGGCGTAGATAGCCCACTTGGTAGGATCATACTGCCACCACTCAATGGCGTTTCGGTAGTCGGATGGGAACTCGTGGTGGAAATTGTGGTAGCCCTCACCAAGGGTGACAAGCGCTGTGATGACATGGTCACGAGGAGAGTTGCGGTCATCGAAGGGTTGGTCGCCGAGCCAGTGAGCCAGGGAGTTGACACAGAAAGTAGCCTGCTGGACGAAGCAAATACGTAGAATGCCAGCGTACACAAACCCGCCAAGCCAGTCATTGAACATAAGACCGCAGAAGCAGGTAGGGAAAACGAGGCCCATGAAGATGACGCACTTCAGGTAGTTCCGGTGCTGCCAGACGACGACGGGGTCCTCGTTGAGATCGGTGATATCGGTTCGACCAGCACGCTTGGGGTTCTGTTTGAAGACCATCCATCCCAGGTGTGAGTAGAGAAGACCTTTGCGAACGGAGTAGGGATCCTTCTCGGTGTCGGTGTAACGATGGTGAGCGCGGTGGTCGCGGGACCACCAACGGATAGAGCCTTCGACAGCACCAGCACCGACGGCGGCGAGATAGATTTTGAGAGGAGTGCCGGCTCTATATGAGGTGTGAGCCCAGAGACGGTGGTAGCCTTTATAGACGGTTAGTTTTCTGGTACAAACTTGAAGTCAATTTCAGATTTGGTTAGCAGCGCCAAACTTACCAGCTGTAATACCAAGACCGGTATTGAAGTAGTAGATAACCGAAAAGATGGCGGTGTAAAGATGAAGGGGAACCCAGTAGGCAGAGATGAAACCGGCCAAGGGAACGAAAATAATAAATGTGGTGTTTAGCCAGTTGACGTGCTTATGCCAGTTTGACCAGGTCATAGGTGTATCGGAGATGTGAACCTTGCTGGCGTCTGCCTTTTTGCCTCGCAGAGGCACGTAATCGGTTGTGCCATCGGGGAAGGCCTTCGCCTGAACCGCCGAAGATGAGGACGACATTGTCCTAATGATGCCGTCGTTCACCTCGGTTTTTGTGAAAATATCCTGCTCAGTTTGGTACGAGATGCTCGCTCCCGCAAACAAACTGGGCGTTTCTATAAGCTCAACAGAATCCCCCAATGAAACGGATCCACAGACAATGGGGGCGATGAGAGAGGATGTTGAAATCGCGGAGGATTGAGGGTGAAGGAAATATAGAAAGGAAAGATTGAAGGAGGATAAGGGCAGGGCAACTCCAAATAAAAAAGAAACCCGTGGGCTTCAAGGGCAGGGGAAAAGAGATATGATGGGGGTTTTGAGGGGCGTGAAGAAACAGCGAGGGGCGTGCGAGCGAAGAGGGCACCGTGGCGGATACCGAAAGTGCTGGGGATGGTTGGGGCGGAGGCGGGTCAAAAAAAAAAGTTGCAAGTTGCCAGTCATGTATTATCCCAAGTACATACGGAGTACAATAAGCAGAGAACCCGGGCCACGACGCGCCAGTCGCAACGTATTCGGGTTTCAGAATGCCAAATGCCAGGCTCTTCATTAGCAGGCCACTATATAGAATTCAATCACAAATACACGGTCTGTTGGCGCGCTGTGCGAGGCCTTTGGGGGTATACTTGTTGTTGGCCTCGACAAAACGTGGACTGGTGCTCTGGTACGGAGTAGTACTTGGTACTCCGTACGGAGTAAAGAATTCGGCCAGGTTCGGTCGAGTTAACCAATGTGCGTTTTACAAAGCTTCTTATTCGCCCATTTACCCTCCCTCTTTGCTACATCCTCTTTGCGCAATCATGCGACGCGGTAAACCTTGTATCCAAAGGCAAAACACCAAGTGGTACAGAGGAGAGCACAATGGACCGTCAATGGTGGCTCGTCCGCCATTCCTCGGAGCTTGAATGCCAACAACTTTGGCAGTATCGTCAATAGTGTTTCAACAATCCGCCATGCAGTGCTCACATGGCGATACACACGTCTAGCACCCATTTGATGGCGAAAGCACACCTTGTTCGCCACGAGTGGCGTCAAGTTTCTTCCTACTCTGGACCGCTGCTCACAAGTTGCCGAGGCGTCTTGGCGTGTTGCCATTACGCATGCAAGCTTCTTGATGGCCTTGAACCGTGTGTGCGGTCAAGTGTCGTTGATGCGGCGCCGAGCGCAAATGCGCAACACATGGTTCGACCCAACCCTTTTCCCCAACAACTTTTTTTCCCTGGCCGTGTTTGGCAGGAGATTGGATCCACAGCTGACGAGGGCGGCGCTCCTACTGGTGGACGCCCGGCCGGGTGCGCCTGCGACAAGCCGGGGGTGTGTGGGCATGCGAATCTGGCATCAAATGGGTTGGGCGAACAGGGGCAGCAGGGGCTCCACCTCATCCGGCGCTCCGGGAAGCTGCGGGCCGCAAGGTACCTCGTTCACTCTGGGAGATGGATGGCTAATGAGCAATTGATGCTCGAGCAATCAATCTATCAGTCAATGAATCCATCAGTCAATCAGTCAATGACAAGCCTGCAGGCCGTGTATCGAACCACTCATAATTAGTGTGGCAAGGCACTGAAGTCATCTGTGAACCAACCCTCGGCCCGACAGCAGCCTGTCAACAAGTGTTGAATGTAGTACCTGCATGTATCATCAACACCTTGCATCGAGGTTTCAACCACCAGCAACTTCCAGGCTCCTGCAGTTGCCTTTTGCCGGTGCAATTATTTAACTGGGGGAAAAAAATCAACCCCATAGAAGCTATAAACCTGTAGTATTCGTCACTCTTCTCCGGATTATCTCTTCAAAAAAGATAAGACACGCATTGCTATGTGAGTGGCCAGACCTAACGTTACCAGGAGTCCCCACCACCATCAGCACCTCAACAATCCAACTTTGCACCATCTTCAAAGCCCACATGTCAACTTGTTCTAGCCTTCTGACTTCTCCGCCCATTCCCGTTGGCCTCGTCTTTTTCGAGCCAACCACCAGACGCACGCCCCCTTGGCGCCCGCGTCGAAAATAAACCGCCCAGCCCGGCACCTGTCCAGCACCTACAACCAGACGGCTTAACACTATCCCGGCTGCGTCACCACATACCTCAGCCACAACATACGATTCGACCAGGCATCTGATGTGCTCAGCGCAAGCACATCTGCCCATTTCCCTCAACTTACCAGTATCGGATTCGTCTATTTTAAAATTTTTGTTGCGAGCGACAGATGACGACTCTTGGAAGGCTGATCATCTGCGCGAAACCTTATCATTCTTCCCCAACAGAATCAACCAGTCACTTGATGTGCAATGTTGACCCTGCAACAGACAACCACCCAATGAGACCATTTCCAAATCAACATCACGCGGGCAAGAGTACGTCGTCTCAGCTAGAACTAGTACTAGCCTTCCAGGAAGGACATTAGATATCGAACAAGAAGTCGACTCATTTGTCATTGCGTGGAGCGAGTCCATCATTCTGCCGTAGACTAGGAGTACACTTGTGTACTCTGCATACGCTGCGATCGCAACTACTTTGTTTTTGGTTTACATCCAACGTATGAAAAACAGCTGGTGCTATTGGGTACATGATTCCGGCCCGAGCGCGTCAATGTGGGCATCTTGGATAAGAAGTGACTAGAAGCGTAGACGAAGCGCTGAATTCGAAGCATAAAGAACAATTATCGTGGAAACAAGAATCAGGTTAGTTTTTTTTTCTGGCCATAATATCCGTTTTAGGGTAGAACAGAGCATTTGGTTCGTGCTGTAGTATAATTCGTATAGGTTCGCGTATATCAGGAGCAGCTTCCATCATCACCAGTTCCTTCGCTACTTCCTATACTTTATCGGCGCATTTGACTTGGAGCAGTACTCCATCGTTGATCATCATCATCGATCATCTACAGATGCGCAACCCACCATCACTGTCATGAGCACGGTGACCAGTCAAAGCAGTACCGAGTTTCACTTCTCAAGACCATAGGAATAGCACCAACAGAATGAGTAATGCTTCCTGCTTTCAGATACAAATCCTCATATATCATCATAAAAGTGGGACTTGTTGGGAATGCTAAAGTACTCCATTACCCACGATATTGCTACACACTGCTGACTTGAGGAAGCCTACATCCAATCAAGCCTCCATCGCTTCAAACGTTCAAAATCCAATAAAGCATTAAAATACGCCGCGAAAACCCTCCTTTCTGATACAAATCAATGCTAGTCGTCATGTCATAAATCCGTTCCAATCCGCTATACGCTTCAATATCATGCTATATCAAAGTAAAATAGCACCAGTCGCCTGCTCATTTGTCTAGAGTATACATGGGTTTAGAAAGAATCCAAAATTCCAAACGTCTTATGCTGGGGCTGTCAAAATGCTGTTCTTTGTTCTTGCTAAACTGTCTTCTGATGAGTGTTTATCTGTCGGGTCAACTAATGCTTACACGGTAGCAGGTCGTGCCAACGCGTCGAAATCATCGTCAACGGTAACCATATTTCCGAGTCCAATCGTGTCGTACTCGATGGATAAGCCCGCGCCGACGCCTGTTAATACAACGGGGATTGATATCGGGCGTTGATGTAGATGGGATCCGGACACAGAGTCGGGTATCGATGAGCGTATTCGAAAATCTCCTAATCGAGCCTCCTCACGGTGATTATATGCCGAACGTGTGTGTAGTTTGTTTGACACGGCACTGTCGGTGGACGTTTCCCTCCCTGTATTCATCGTCGACTTATTCATGCTGGGGTCGATTTGCATGGCAACTGAACGGCATGAATTGACATCAGGAGGCCTCTTATTTTGTTGGACATCCTGTTGGGCCTCAGAATGGAGGTCGCTGTGTGACTGCAGCCTATGAGCAGTGGGAACATGCCCTAGCACTAGCGAGACACCGCCGTCTGCATCGCTTTCCATGGTTTTAATCTCATGTGCGTCCGAAACAGTGTGCATATCGACCATCTCGGTTGCGGTAGTCATATCGGCCGTCAGCTCATCCACGTGCCCACTAAGCGACTCAGCCAAGTGACTGTCCTCAATCTTAGGTGTGCTTTTGGGTAGTTGCGTTTCTGCTGTGTCGTGCCTAGTTGGGGCGTGAATCGCAGTGTCTTGCCTCTCCAGTTTTGGTGTCGATATCGTCTGCAAACCATCGCCCAAAGAGGGCTTTCTGTCCATAACTGGTATTGTTGACCGTTTCGGGCTGATATCTTCCAGTCTTATGTCGGTGGGGAGATAAGCAGCCGAATCGATGTCGTACTGCCCCAGCGAGAGGGGTGTTTCAGGTCGTAGCCCTACATCGACAACCTTTCCTGCCTCTGTAGTGCTGTCCTCGTCTATGTCGCTGTATGAGGGCCGGACACTTTTGTTAGCTGCCCAAGAGGTACTGCTGCAGACTTTCCCTGACGAATCATACCCATCGAAAGCGCTAGGTGGTGAACTAGGGGGCGAACGACCGCGCATGGGAGATTGTGGTCCGTACATATCTGGGCTTGTATTGACGTAAGTCTTGCCAGAACATTGCCAGCCATTTGACGGTGACACTGTTTTGATGTACTGCTGCGTGTGAGGCGGGTAATCGACGCTGTATCCATCTGAAGAGCGACTCTCGTCGGCAGTAACTGTCGATCCCTTGCGTCCCTCTATGTCGGGTGGGAACATTCTCAAGAGGTCTGATGGCGCCAGCCTCTTTCTTGGGTCGGGATCAAGGCATATTTCGGTCATTTGACGATACCAATCTGGAATATTTATCTCTGGTCCTAGCATCAATGGCCTCCCATGGGCTTCTGGCTCGTCATCGAGCATGGCCAATGCCCATAACACCATCCCCAGTTGGAAAAGGTCAGACTTGACACCAATATACAGGGAAGTGCGGTGGTGGGCTTCGATGAGCACTTTCAATTCTGGTGGTTCCCATCCCGCCGGGCATCCTCTTCTGTTTATGTCGATTATCTTTGCATCGCCAGCAGCATCGACTACGATGTTGTTCAGCGTAAAGTCTCCTTGTACAAACCCCAACTCATGAATGTCATTTAGACCTCGCACAATTTGTCGTGCCCATCGTTGTCTCCTCGGCCAGGATATGCCCAATTCCCGTTCCTTGCAGTTATCGTATATTACATCCAGCAGGGAACCTTTCTCAGCATATGTGATGAGGAGGCCCTTGATTTGGTCACTGAAGTCGTCAATAACAAGTCCGTGAAGTCGAACGATGTCTTTAGAATCGCGCAGATTACCGAGTGCGTTGACTTCGTACAAGAACTCCTCCATGGTCTCAGGGCCCGGAATTTCCTTCTTAATTAGGGCTTTTCCATCGACATGAACTTTGTAAACGAAGCCCGACAGATGAGAGTCAAAAACGATGTCACTTTCCCGAAAGAAGTCACATTTAAGGTGCTTGACTTGATCAGCAGTAGGGAAGTGGATGACCTCCTAAATAAACTGCGTCAGATGTCGCTCATTTTGCTATTCATGGCAGGCAGAAAAAAATTGATCGCAGAGCCTCTTCCACTCACATTCAAGTCCTCGACAACATGGATATGTAGCCGGTCGTCTGTTGTTTGAAGTTTCAAATTCGTTACGGTATCGAAAAATCGGATGACTGGAATGCTCCCACGGATGGCTTCATATATCTTGGCGTTCTTTTCTCTTTGTTCGCTAGTATGAGACAGCTTCCATTCAAGAGAGTTGGGTGGAACGCTGCGATAATCGAGAGAGATTGTGACTCTTCTCCAAAGGTATTCTTTCTCTCGGTACGTGACAAAGAATTTTTCGCGTTTTGATCCATCACGAAAGTGCATACTCAGGTTCAGAATCCATTTTTGTGTCAACTCTTCTGCAAGCGTGGCTTCGTCTATCGAGTCAGCTACTGACGCTGCATCTTTCGGCACTCCGTCGTAACAGCGACTTTCCAAATTAAGTTGTTCTTGATCCATGATGTGGTTAGATAGCTCGTAATGGCCGGGGTCGCTTGGCAATTGAGAAGATAAATCTGAACCATAGCCGTTGAGTGATGAGGTAGAGGGGCTAAAAGTTCCAGGGACAGTTGAACGAGGGCTACAATGTGGCAAAATGGCTTGTCCCATGTATGATTGTGCGCTTCGCCTGTCCTCTGACGCAGCTCTTCGTTCATCTGGTGTGGGAAGCACAGGTTCTAAGTTAACCCTCTGTTCCGACAACCGCCTCTTGAGGGTTTGAGCTCGGGGTAGTCCAATGACAGCCCTCCTGGAGTCCTCGTCACCAACAGATTTTACAGTCTTTGAAGGCTCCTCTTCCAGTTTCGAGTTGAGGATTTGATCGGGCTCCGATGTTGGTAAACTCCTCTCGTCTGTTGGTCGGCCAAAGGGTTTGAGAAGGAAATCCCATCCCCCAGTTGATGTAGGCGGCGGCTCAGCCTTAGAGCCGCCTAGACCAGCCATATTAGGCGACGAATAGTTGAGTCCTCACAGCCAACACGAGGTATCCTAGAAAGCTAGCAAATATTACCGAATTCCCAGGCGAGATTCAAGACGATGGCCGCAACGCGAGGCTTGTTTGCCCAATCGAATGATGCCAGCCTTGCCTAATCAGCCCAGCTTGGGTTATAAGTCGAAAGCGTGGCTGGGCAGTGGGTCCTGACGAGCCTGGCCGTTGAGAGGTGTAAAGAATCTGGTATAAGCATACATGCAGGCAGCCGTACGCATAGCATATCGAATGAACAATGAGGAGGTAGGCGAGACGAGAGATGCTGTCAATGAAGAGGGTTATCGCAGGAGCGAATAGAATTGGTAGGGCGGCATGAAAACAGAAACAAAAAAGCTGGAAACAAGGCGGAAAGGGGGAGCAGGCAAATGGTGGCCGAATGCCACACAGCCCATATGGGGCAGCGAAAATGGCTGGGGGGTGGTCGGGTCGTCAACTCGTCGACTCGTCGTCCTTTTCGTCAATCCACCATGTTTGCTGTCTGCTCACTGACAGTACGGTGAAGCCAAGGGGTTGTGGGGATCAATGTTCGACACGACTGGCAGTTCGACTCCGTAAGACGACGACACTTTGCCAGCTTGATTTGCCTCCAGCCTTCTCCAAAGCGCAATAGGCAATAGGCAATGGCGCTAGTTTAAAGCGGGCAGACTGCGCGAAGTGAGCCAAGCCGTGTCATTTGTCGCCAGTGATGTACGGGGTATTAATGGTGATTCGCACAATGGCGCCGAAGAACGGAGGATGGATTTGCCAGAAGGGCGAAGGAGAGGGAGGGGTAGTGACGATGTTGGGCTTTCCCTGTTGGACAGCGATGGATCAAAAAGTCAGAGTTATTAGTGGGAGCCCGAAAAATGACGAGGATTTGAGTATCGTGAGAGGTTAAGATGCAGAATGACAAGAGTGGTCAATGGTCAATGGTCACTGGTCAATGACCCACGACGTGAGGACCTGAGGTCAACTGGTGCGGCTCGGAAGAGGTCAAGCGGCTCAGGTGCTGGTGTTGGATAACGTCTGGTACGGAGTACAACCAAGCTAGTAGACATGGAGTTGTCAGCGGGCGCCGGGTTGCAAGTGCAAGTGCAACTGAGCTGGCGCGAGCCCGCTTCAATGTTTGCTGTTGATTATTCCCCCCTCAGCCCAATCAACTTTGCCATCAACCGTACCTGCCTGGGTATCTCCATAAGTACATAAGAAAACATCTAGATGGCGGTTTCCTGTTGCGTACGTGGAACAGGCGGGGGGGCTGGTCAAGATGTCAACTGGTCTGGTGTGCCCCGATGCCCTTGTGCCCTAAGCACGGAGTACGGAGGAGCTGGGTGCAAAAGTATCATTGATGGCGGGTGACCGGGGGTGCATTCATTCATTCATTGATCAGTCAATCAGTCAGTCAACGTTGACTCTGTGCGACAAGTTGCTGCAGGCTCCATGTCAAGCAGGCTGCAAGTGTGGTGTTCACGGTAACTATTAGACAACAGGCAGTAGGGACTGCATGCAGCTGGCTGCGCCTTCCAGCCATAGCCATGTCCATGCCCATGCCCATGCCCTTCAAATGTTCCTTCCGCTTTTTCCCCTTCCTCATCGTTTTCCGACAATTTATTTCAACTTGTCGAGCTCCCTATTTAAACTTACAACTTCCCCTTGTCCATGTTGATTGTCCATATGTTTTCCTGTCAACTGTCAACCTGGCAAACGTCAAAGTGCACTCTGGCGGTCAGACGCAACCCCGGGAATGGCGTCCTTTGGCAGGCCCATGAACAAGTCGATTCGTTGATCGGCCTGCCTTGACATCGATTGTGGCGGCTCCTGATACTCTGTACTCCGTCCTGAAAGCTCAATGGCGCTCAGGCTAGCCCAGCGGGCCGCAAGAGAGAGGGCCCGCGCTGGTGCATTATTGGACCTCGACAGTCAACGACTTGCCCCAGGCGAACGGGATCCGCATCACAACCCACACCTTTGGAGGAGTTCTTTGTCACCATGTTTTTGCATGCAGCCCTGACCCGAGGAACAGCGCCTGGCGATGACGGCGGCATGGCAGCATGGCAAATAGCAAATAGAAAATAGCAAACAGAAAACGACAGCCGCAAAATGGGTGCGGCGTGTCTGGCCGACTTGGCGCTCCTTTTGTCTCATTCTCGGACTCTCTGCGAGGCGTCCCGAGCCCACGCGTACACCATCCACCCATGGCCGCTTCAAGTCGCAGTAATAGTACTCGGTTGCTCTCCTTACCTCCATCTTGCTACCCGCTGGTGAACTCAATGTACGGAGTAGGGTGAAAGCGTGGTTAGACACTGGGACACGTCACAAAATCCTGTTAGCGTCGCCAACAATGGCGTTGAATCCATCAACGACCCCCCGGCAACATCTCAGAGACAGATGCCGAACAAGCAACAAAACACATGTTAAGCAGCTGGCACTTCAATGCCACAGCCATCTCCTCCTCCCGGTTCTTTTTCGATTCATCATCTCAACACAAGTATGTGTCTTGGCGGTTCCAATTTTTGTATTTGTTTTAACGTTTTGGGCCGAAGTCTTTCTCCATGACGCAAGGCACCAGTAACCGGGGGAAAAGCAGCGCTATTTTCTGTCAATGGCGCAACGCAGCCTGCAACCATGGCATCTCGTTCCTGATCGTATCCAGTTATTTTTGTTGGTCCCAGCTGATCGGACCACCTCACATGCTGATACTTCTTAGCCGGATGTCAAGGGACCAGACTACTCATGGCAAAAAACTTTGTCTTGTCAAAACCACACAAGAGCTTGGGCCAACTCGGTAAGCTAGGACCCGGGGTGGTCGGAAGAACCGTGAATGGCAATGCGTATCAAAGAATACAAAGGACGAAGGACCGAGGGCGAAGAGGTGGTCAAGTGTGCAGGGGAGGATCAGGAGGGATGCTGCCACTTCTCAGTGCGTCAATGGAGTGCAAACTGCTTCGCCGGCCCATTGCCATCACATATCATGGATGATGTGCTGCCACACCAGGCAACAGATTGCAACTTCAACGGGCGGCGCTCACCACCTCCCTCCCCTTCCTTTGGATAAGCTGATGCACAACCGGGAGGTTTGTTCACTCGGTTTCCCCGGGTCGAGATGCACACAAAGCCACCTTGCGCCTTGCGCGGTACCATCGCGTTCCAGCACACGCAAGGCCCAGGCCCAGCTTTTCCCAATCCGCCAAGAATCAGCCAGACATGCGTTGAATTGGGCATCTATGTATGAAAATTCCTCAAAGCGCCCTGCATTCAAGCACACGATGCGTCAAACTACTAACCACAAGCAGTCTGGGGTACAGGAATCCCGGCTATTTATCCACTGTGAGGAGAAAATACTACTCCGTACACCATGCTGAGGTGGAAGCAAGTACTCGGTGGAAATAAGCAGGTTTAGGTACTTGGCCAAAACACCAAGCCTACAACAACAGCCCTGCCTCCAAGCCAATGGGACTTACCACGTCACACATGCTCATTCTCGCAGCCACATCCACATTAACACTCACCATCGGCATCATTCCATGTCCATCCCATGTTTCGTGCTCTTTGGTGCCCAGCCGGGGGCGGCGCGAGCCTCACTAGACAATACAATGCTTCGCCCTCTCGTGATTAGGCACGGATGCAGCCCTAGCCAAGGGGCGCAGAAGACGATCCTAACAGACCAAAGATAGAGAGTAAAGAGAAAGATTTTTTCGGTGGTGTGGTATGAAACCTGCACAGCTCACTGCGTGTCTATGTATGTTGCGCAAGGATGGTGGTGCATAATACCTATCACCAGGATGTCGCTCTGCCCCAGTGCTTTGGCGCGATTCCATGCGGACGGTTAGGTATCACGACATGAACCCAACCTCGACTTTATAGCGGGACAAAATCCTGACTCGGGGAGACCAGCGTCTTCCAGGCTCAAGCCCACGTTCAACGTGCCTGGCCTATTCCAGAGCCCCTCCCTCACACACATACAAAACACATCATGAGATGAAAGAAAACTCCGGACGCTCTGGCACACATACCGAGTAGCCGAACTAGGGATAGCGAAAACAAGGCTCGTCCCGCGTCCTGTTCCCCGACTCCACAGTCGATCTGCGGGGCCATTGGGTGGACATTTAGACTCGACTTAGACTCGACCAGAAGAAGACGCTCCATCTAAAAATGCTCCTCCATCGAGTCCGCTACAATACTAGTAGGACTACGTGCGTGGAACAGAGTAGCCTCTTTTTGGCATGGTATAGTATTCATCCACCAGTATGGCCAGATCCACCAGCCACACTCCCTCAGTCTAAGTTTTCTAGAAATACAAAAAATGTCCGAGGACGAATGTACACAGAGTAGGAGTATCGCATGCACCCGGCTTCCCATCAAAAGCCCGTGTATATATAAAAAAGAAGAAAAGAAAAAACTAAATCATAACGCCCCAAACGTATGCTGCCGTCTTCCATGATCCACGTACAAAAGCGTCCACGTTTAGGAATATAGACAGTGTACACTGGCGCATAATGCCAATTTCATGCAGGTGTCGGTCGTCTAGGCTTGTCGCTCTGCTTGCTTCTCCTCATCCTCCTCAGATCTTTCGACTTCTTTCTTGACATCTTGGACCTTGCTCCTGTTGGCTTGTTCGCGGTCGAGGTCTTGGAAGACAAGATCGAATACTTCGGTGTACCATCCTACGGCGTGTCCTTCAATACCTTCCTTGATATTCTATCATTGTTTTTTTGTTAGCCATGTATCTTGGTGAGCATGAGAAGTGACAACGTACCTGAGGCAGCTCCAGCCAGTCCGACATGTTGTCCTTGGGGAAGATGATTGTTTTGCAGCCGGCTCGACGGGCTGCCACAGTCTTCTCGCGCAGTCCGCCGATGCGCAGGACCTTGCCGGTGAGTGTGAGTTCGCCAGTCATGGCGACGGTCGGGTCAACGGGCGTGTCGAGAGCCAGGGAGAGAAGGGATGTCGCCATGGTGATTCCGGCAGATGGTCCATCTTTAGGCACGGCGCCATCCGGAACGTGAAGATGCATCTTGGCCTTGTCGAAGAAGTTGTTCTCTGGGAACTGCCTGGCCATGAAGGCCTTGGCGAAGGAGTAGGCAATGGTCGTAGACTCCTTCATAACAGACTTCAAGTTACCTGTGATTTCCAGATATGGTCTCGTGCTAGCTCGCAGAGGTGCTTGCAGAATGGATTCAATATACATGGCCGCACCGCCCATTTGCGTCCAGGCCAGGCCCATCGAGACACCGGCCGGGCTTACATCGTACAGGCGGTCCGATGTAAAGACGGGAGGGCCAATGTAATCCACGAGGTTGTCCTTTCCGATTTGAACGTCCACCGAGTCAGGAACCCGCAGTGCTTTCCTCGGCTTTTCAGCCGTCTTGGCTTCGGTTGCTTCGGTAGCCGCACGCGCTTCTTCTGACTTTGCCTCATCGTTTGCCGCGGCCTCCTCCTCAGTCTTCTTCTTTTGGCTCTCTTCCAGTGCTGCTTTGCCTTCGTCAGTCAAGGCTTTCTCCTCAGACAGAACATCCTCTCCCAGCTCCTGGACGATCTTCAAGGCGGACTTCCTGTAAACCTTCTCGATCTGCTTCTTGAGGTTACGGACTCCAGATTCACGGCAGTAAGACTTGATGAGCTCTTCGACTGCCTCGTCGGTAAGGTTCACATTGGCATCCTTCAGGCCTGCTGCGTCCTTGGCCGCTGGTGCCAGGTACGTATTAGCAATGGCCTTCTTCTCATCCGCAACATAACCTGAGAGCGTGATCAACTCCATGCGGTCGAGGAGAGGTCGCGGAATCGTGTCCGTCATGTTGGCAGTGCAAACAAAGAGGACCTTGGACAGATCAACAGGAACGTCCATGTAGTGATCCAAAAAGGAGCTGTTCTGTTCAGGGTCGAGTAATTCCAGGAGGGCCGAAGACGGGTCGCCTTGATATCCCCGCCCAATCTTGTCGACTTCATCAATCAAAATCAGCGGGTTTTCCGTCTGGCATTTCTTCAAGGCTTGAATAATGCGGCCGGGCAGAGCGCCAACATATGTACGTCGGTGGCCCTTGATTTCAGCTACGTCCGTCAGACCACCCACACTGAATCGGTAGTATTCCCTGTTAAGAGCTCGGGCAATTGACTTTCCAATGCTCGTCTTTCCGACGCCGGGAGGACCAACAAAGCAGAGAATCTTGCCCTCCACGGTGCCGCGCAGTTTTCCTACAGCAATAAACTCGAGAATTCGATCCTTGACATCCTGCAAGCCATAGTGGTCTTCATCCAAGACCTTCTTGGCATTGGGAATGCCAAAGTTCTCAGGACTTCTGCGTCCCCAAGGAATCTGAGTAAGCCAATCAAGGTAGTTTCGCGTAACATTAAACTCTGATGCGGCGGTCTCCAGGTGAGCAAGTTTATTGATCTCCTCGTCAAAGACCTTCCGAACAGGGTCAGGCATAGCCAACTTGGAGGCCTTCTCCTTGAACTTTTCGACCAACTTGTCTTTGCCGTCAGATTCCAGGCCCAATTCGCGGCGAATGCCCTTCATCTGCTCCATAAGCCAATACTCTCGCTGGCGCTTGCTGATCTTGCTCTCAACATCCTTGGTGATTTTGGACTGTAGTTGGGCATTCATAAGTTCCTTCTTGAGAACAATTAGGGCTTTCTGCATTCGCTCCTCAACGTTCATGCAGGAGAGAACATCCTGCAGTTCATTCTGCTCCCCAGATGATACAGCAGCAGCAAAGTCGGCCAGTTTCCCGGGCTCTGAGGTGACATTTCCAGTAGATTGGCTCATTGAAAAGGTCGAAATTTGATCACGGAAGAGGTTATTCATGGTAGCAACCTCCTTGAAGACATTGACAATTTCGTTGGTTACAGCGCGAATAACGGGACTTTTGGGGTCGTAAGGTTCGTCAGCAAGGTTATCGACATTAACAAGACTCACGGGCCAGCGTTTCAACCATGAAGTTGGCTCGTATTTTTCGGCGACCTGGTCTGGTTTCTTCTCAACAGCCCCTTCCTCAAAGCTGGCTACAACGTCGCCTTTTTTCTCCTGCTGTGCATCTTCCTCTCCGGAATTTTGCTGCGGGATGACTTCTGGAGTGTCGGGCTCCTGTTTGCCGTCGATTTGCTCAGCCGCACTGGGCGGAACCAGACTGGAAAGCTTGATCCGGCGATGGGGATAGAGAATGGCCGTCAAAGCGCCCTCTTGTCCGTGGATGGGAAATGCGCTTGTGATCTGAGCGAAAACGCCCACGTCGTGTACATCTTCAACGTTGCGAATAATGTCCTCGTCCTCGTTTTCGTTCTTGAACAAGAAAGCGCCAACGTATGGCTGCCCGCGCTTGATAGACTCGGTGATAGCCGAGGCGACGTTGGGGTCCTTGATGGTAATGGCCTTGTAGAATCCTGGAAACAGCGGTCGCCGCGCGATAGGGATAGCGAGGACTTGCGGATACACTTCTGGCACAACCGGTTTCTGTAGAGCCTTTTCCGAAGATTTTCTTCCCTTCTTGCCACCATCACCACCAGAGCTATCGCCCCCTGAGCCTGAACCGCCCTCTGCCGAGCTTCCTGCCGCACCACTGGACTTTCCATCTTGTGATTTACTACCGGCATCAGCTTTTGCTGTCGAAGAGTCCGACTTGGCGTCTGCTGCAGCTCTCTCTGCATCCTTCTTCTTGTTTCCCAAGTTTGCCTTGACCTCCTCTTCCGACAGCGGTTCGGTAAGGGTCTCGGCCGAAGAGTCAAAGAAATCGTCCTTCTTTCCCTTATCGTCCTTTTTTCTTAGCCTCGCCGTCGTAGAAAAGGCGGCTCCGACCAAGCCGGGTCGAATGCCGGGCAGAGTGGATCGGCAGATATGGCGACTATGGCAAGCAGGTGACAAAGCCCATCTTGGCGATATTGATGAAGTAGATGTTCGAGAAGCGTGCGCCGCGGATCGCTCGAGAATGAGTCGCCCACAGAGGCGAGACCGGGGAATCATGGTTGAACGACTAGGAGCTCCCTTTCAGCTATCACCAAGCTCGGATGTACGAGCTGGGTCCAGTGGCAACGCCGAGGTGATGAAAAGGTTTCGGCCAGAAATAAGGCGCTAAAGGGCGAATTGATGATTGAGAGGCCGAGGATAGACTCTAGCACGACCGACTTATTCTTGCTGTCCTGGAAGTTGCCTTGCACATTGCCGCTGCGGACGACACGGACAAATGCGAAATTGCGTTGATAATGACGACGGTGGGCGAGACCGGCGGGCACGACAATGGGCCAAAAATTCATGGTGCTGGGAGCTTCCATCGGCAAAGCCTCGGCAATTGTCTGTGAGTCGCGCGCGAGATGTCAAGTCGTTTTGGACGATAACTCGGCCAAGTGCATACACATACACGCAAGGGCCCCTTGTACTAGCTACCCTGCAGTGCAGTGCAGTGCCGTGCAGCATTCGCAGCGACGCGATCATGGAAATGTCCCATGCGGCCTCGGTTTTGGGGCATCAAAGCAAGAGTACACTTCTGTTTCTACCAAATTACCAAGGCGTCTAACCGTTTACGAGCTCAAAACAGTCGCAACTTTTGAGCTGCAAATGCTCGACCACCCGACTTACACAGCCGCTGGCCAAGGCGGCCTCCAAGTGGGGTGAAGGAAGTTAGTCGAGCAGGCTTCTTTTCCAGGCAGACATCCCTTCTTCGACGTCTCGTTCGTTAAGTAGTTTCACGTTTCAAACAAGCTGTCGAAAGCCCTGTTGGATGATACATTGTGCGAGTAGATGCCCATATTCACGCCATTCCGCAGCCCTCCCATCTTCATAGTCGGTCCGCCTCCGCCACCATGTCCTCCACATCCCGCAAGAAGGACAAGGTGACCGAGTCTCTGTCAAACCTAACCCTAGACACATCCAAAAGCAACAAGAAGGCTTCAAAGCCCAAGAAGAAAGCTGCAGTCGCAGACTCATGGGAGAACGATGACGAGTCGTCCGGATCTGAGAACGAGCTCAGGCCCTCGGTAGCGAGCCCAACGGTCCCATCAGCACCACCACCAACCCCATTCGCAGCCAATTATGCATCTATCCCGGGATGGGACGATGCTGGGGCTCATGCAAGCAACTCTCCCTCTGGAGCGGATTCGACAAAAAGGCCGGAGAAAACCGATGCCGTGGCCCGGCGTATGATCGCTGCTGGATTGGGCATGAAAGCCCTCAAACAGACAGAGGAGCAGAAGGCCTATCAGAAGTCCATCAGAGAGCAAGAGAGGAAGAAAAAGGAACAGGAACGCCAGGAGGAACATCGAAAGAGGATGGAGGCAGACAAGGCTAAAGCTGCCGTCTGGGATGACTGAACGAGGCATGCAACGATCGAAACGTCACGAACCTGTTGTACTACATAGTATTTTCATCTCCCCCTTGAAAAGAAAAGGGGCCAGTCTGTAGGTCCTATCTAATCCGATATGATCAACATGCCATGCAAGCCTCCATCTGTTTCCATCCGGTCCCTTTAACTATTCATCGTTTATCGGCGGACTGACTGCCCTGCTCCTACAAACCATATACCTTCCTGGCGGCAGACCGAGCGACCAAGCGGTTGTGCCGGCCGGAAAAGTTGGGGTACTTCTCGGCTTCCGACTCGGCCAACAAGCCCTTGGAAGAGCCCTCCACCACACTATCCCATGGGATAAAAGCCAGATCGGCATACGTGCTACGGGGAGATTGCCAGCAGGACTCCAAACCCAAGACTCTCTCCACGGCATTGCGACGCCCATGATGCACAATCTATTGCCAAAAAGGTACTCTTTCCCTTCGAGGATACTGTCCAAAACTTGCGAGACGTGCAGGGCCTGCTCGTCATGTCGCTTCTTGGCACTGGGGAGGTCCTCTGGGTGAAACTTGCGGAACCAGACGTGCTGGCAAAAGTATGGCCCCTGTAACGATTGCCTCATGTTAGATATACCCGTGTACATGATATCAGCCTAGAAACTGCCCGGCACAATCAGCTCGTACCTGTCCAGACAAATGATGACCTTGAATTGGTTCGGTCCTTGACCTGCCGCCGTGTACGTGTGCGCTTGTTGCTGGTGACTAAAAGGACAGCATACTCTTGATCCAGACGGTAATAGGAAATCCCAAGCTGTTGCGAACAGAGTTTCTTTTCTTACTTACATTGCTTTTTTTATTATTATTGTAAGATTTGCTGCTGAGATGCCTCTGCCACTGCTTTGCTGGATGACTATACGCTTCTATATACTTATCTTCTCGTTCGTTCTACTTGTCTAAACTTGTAGAGCTGACGCCGAATCTCAATTCTCTTCTCATTCTCATACTCAGTAACTGAGATTTGGTGTAGCTTGGTAATAAACTCTCCGAAACCTGCTCATGTGCTTAATTCCAAGTCAATGTTACCTGACTCCAGGGCCCATCTCATTCCTGGGCGGACTCGGAAACCCAACACAAGATCAGAATACCCTATCCCTTTAAAAGGCCATGGAAATCGTGACACAACGAATCCTGCGCTGTGATTCAAGGGTGGCGCTGATACCGCGCGCGGTACATGACTAAACCAACTTAATGTTGGTGAAGGATGATGGATCATGACCGACCGACGAAACTACCTACGCGGGTAGCTAGTTAGTGAGACACACCATTTTAGATGGCCCGGCGCAAGCCGCTAGTTATCCGTCACATCTCGGGTTCCCGCGTGATTGGCATCAAATCGAGCCAGGCCCGGACAGCTATTCGTTTGGGACAGCTCTTGAAGCTGGAAGTGGCCGGAACAAATACACGAGATTTACTGTGGGTATTCTACAATACGTTACATGTCAAAAAGTACCCCGAATCACTTCTCCTGTAACAAAGGTATCACAGCGCCATTACGCATCAACACCAACTCATCCTTGTCGTCACCACGCCTCACAGAGACCCCATATCCATCGAGACCCAGCTCCTCTGCGCACTGATTCCATATCATCTGCGACACGATGCCCTCTTTCGAGCAGCACATGTACACCATTGGCCACTTGCTTCTCCCCAACGAATCGCGGACCCCTTTGGTCGCAGCCCGCTCACTTGCGAGCAGGCCCAACACTCCCGTGCCTCTCCATCCAACAGGCGCGCCGACAAAGGCGCCTTCTAGTTCACGAATATGTTGTGGCCCGACGCGCTGAGTGCCAGCTTTGCACTGCACGAGGACTCTGAATGGTGCCGAAGGAGACGACCATGGAAGCGTCCACGTCCCTACTAAATCCGTGCCGTAGTCTGACGAGCCGCCTATCCGCTTCAAGAAGAAGCCGTATTTGGCGAGGGCGCTGGATACTTTGTACTCGTAGTGGGTGCCGACATAGACGGTGGAATTTGCGTCCAGGCCTTTTCGACGGGCGTAGGCTATGAAGGAATCGAGATCCGAGTGATTTGTAGTTGGGGGATTGGGGTAATGCAGTTTGAAGCCTGGTGAGCCATCATCAGCTGCGCTCTTGGTGTAGCATCGTGAAAATTGATATGAAGCGCGTTGAAGACGCGAAAAGTGAGTGATTTGCCGTCGTGGGCGCACGAATGCGCGTACGACGGGCGAACATTTCAACATGATGCCATCTTCATCATCATGAATGTAACATGAAGAGCTGCAGCTGAAGACGGAAAGAGCATGCAAGTAGCCAAGGCCATGCATATATCGAGGATCCACCCGCCCACCCACACCCTGCCTGCCTGCCCGCCCCGCGATTGCCCCGCCGCCATGCCATGCTTCAACCCGCACGCCGCCCGACCTCTGTCTCTTCAAGCAAACTTGACCTTGCTCCAAAAAATTCACACCCACGACACTCCACGAGACAGGTCTTTCCCACGACAACCCGCTCCCTCGGGCCACAAGCAACCGCCATCATGGGAACCATTCTTCTCCCCCACCTCGTGACGGGCTGGCACGTCGACCAAGCCATTCTCAGCGAAGACAACCGCCTCGTCGTCATCCGCTTCGGCGACCCAACCAACAACCCCGACCTCGACATCATGGACGAAGTCCTCTCCAAAGTCGCGCCCCTGGTTCAGAAATGGGCCGTCATTTACGTGTGCGATATTTCAAAAGTCCCCGACTTCAATCACATGTATGGTACGTTTTCCCACGCCCATGTTTCGATACTGCTGGCGCCAAAACCCTCTTTACCAGCCTGTCCCGTGTCCTTTTCTTTAATAAAATTTCAAAATTTACCCGAAGACTGACAGTATAAATAGAATTAAATACCAACGAAGAGCCGTTTGCAGTCATGTTTTTCTTCAGAAATAAACACATCATGTGCGATTTCGGCACAGGTAACAACAATAAAATGAATTTTGTCGAGCGCAATAGACAGGATGTCGTCAATATTCTGGAAGCGGTTTACCGGGGGGCTACCAAGGGGAAAGGCCAAGTGAATAGTCCAAAGGGTCAGTTGACTCCCCCCCTTTTTTGGCATGGATTGTTTTGGCCAGTGCGCGCAGAGACTAACACACCACGACAGACTATTCCACACGCCACCGATACTAAAGGCCACCACGGTATTTATTTGTCTCGAAGCAAAAGACAGGGCAAGGGCGGTTGCTTATTATACCACGATTATCATGATGTACGTTGCTTTTTTTGGGAATCCGGGGTCTGACATCACAAGGGTTGGTCTCCATATAGACTTCCATGTCTTTATTTATGCTAATTTCATGTGAGACAAAAAACAAGACGCCGTGGCTATGTACTACATGCGGGCAGAGGCACTGATCCAACGCCCTTGTCCATCTTTTATTGTGGAGTGTCTATCCAACTGCAGCTTTTGTTTGTCGTAAGTATTACAATCGTAGCAAGTCCCACCAAATGTCCCAACTTGTAACTGCAATCATTTTCTCTTCAATACTCCCTGCGTAGATTTATATCATAACATTCAATATACATTTTAAATCTTCTCTGTTGCCAACCTCAAAGATTATCTCCCGGGCTTGCTATATTTGCTTGAAATGCCTTGTTTGGCATCCTTGGCGTGACCTGTGGAAGCGTGGGTTCGCGTAGGGTTTCGTCGCGAGATCTGTTGTCGACTCGTCTCATCGTAGGCCGAGGGCCGGGTTTAGGAGATTTGATACGGCTTCTTGCATCCGGTCTCTCGTCATCGGCGTCTGAAAACCCCGCAGAGAAGTACTCGTCATCAGATCCAACTTCGCCAGTCATGTGTGATTGGTATGACGCTGGAGCAGACGGCGACGTTATGGACCTAGAATGAAGTGCTGGTCTTGGTGACATTCCCGCGGTAAATGCGCCGGGGTTCATCGTGTTCGTTGCTAAATCTCTGGAAATACCCAAGGGACGATCGATGAATCCGTTTTGAAAAGCCGTCGTGTTTGATGCCTCGTGAAGAATGGGCAAGATTTGCTCATCGTAAAGCTCAGTACCAGATTCAAAAGATTCCGGCGAAAACTCGGTGACGGTGCGAGATGACCTTCCATCCTCGTCTGTGGTGGGGCTTGAAGGCTCGTCGAAGAAGTCATCCAGGCTATCCAACTTGGTGACCAAATCTCCCACAGGAACCTCAGCGCGGCCGTCGTCCGAGAGCATCGTCTCTGTTCTCTCCATAGAGTCGAAATAGCCGTATGGAAAGTCGTCCTCGTGAAACTCGACTTCCGCAGTTGGGGTGGCCTCAGTCGACGAGCCCTCTGTGCTTTGACACATGTAAAAGGCAGCATGGATATTCGCCCGGGTCGCGTCTGTCTTACTCGCGGGCACCGGGATTGCCCAGCCGGAACATTCGGGGATACCAAACAGACTTGGGGTGCGCTCGTATTCTTTGCGAACAGCTTTTGAGGTAGACCGAGTCATAATCATTCTTAGATAGTGCTTATCCATGTGACTGCCCGACATGGCCATGATACTGTCCAACACCTTTAATGCACCCACGCAATATTCCGTTTGAAGAAGTCGCAACAGGGGAGAGATGAGATCGGAGCCATGGCCCGCAAATTCTGGATTGCGCATGTCAATTTCTGGGATGGCAACACACAGTATCCGCATAGTTTGCACTTTGACCCAGGATAGCGAGTTTGTCAGTAGTCCGATCAAGAATGTGATCATCTTGAAATCTTGCTGTGGTAAGAAATGCTCTCTCAAGGCTATAAAAAGTTGAGTCAGGTACTCCCCACTGTCCAATTGTCTCCCAGAAGTATAGTCGTCGAGGGCTTGTGCAATGGATTCAAGACCCAGCCTATCAGCCTCAACTCGAAGTAGCTTCGCTGTCTTCATAGTCTTTTCTGTTGGCGATGCGTTTTCCAGCTCGTTCAAGAAGCGAGGGAAGTTCGCCAGCAAGGCGAAGAACAGTCGGCTATCATCTCCAATCAGAGGGTCCGCAGGAAGTTTGACAAGTTTATCAATCGTATCCAGAGTCGGTTGCCAGCACAAAGAAGAGCGGAGACCATTGTACAGCAAGGGCTGGATGCCGTCAAACTGACCGTCCCAACGTTCTGGTTGGCCGTCCGCAATGATCCTTCGCACATTTGGCAACCTAAAGTCAAGCTTGCTAACAAGCTCGTTTAACATTTCAACGGCTTCGAGGAATTCCCGTTCATTGATAGATTCTAAGCAAGCGCACGTCGTCCAGAACAGCTGCGGGAATGTCAAAAGCTTTTCGGAATCCAGCTTCACCAGTAGTGTTTTCAGCGTGGTCAATATCTCCATGGAGAATGACTGAATCTCGGGGTCTTCATCCGCAATAGTATTCGACAGCCGAGCAAGCATATCACCAAGCATATACTGGTCGATAGATGTCAAAACGCATCGAAAGATCTGGAAAGACCGACAGGCCAAGTGTCTCACAGGACAAGACGTGGCCCATGTGAGCGACAGCCGGCCCCATTGCTCCTTGATTGCCGGGAAGGTGACCTGAAACGTTTCGACTACTTGCGAGGTGAGGTATTCCATACTCGGAGGGACCTTATTGCCCTGATCATCCACCTTCCCGTTGCTATCCTCATATCCCCAAACAACAGTACGGTCATGTCGACGAATTGCGTCAACCAGGTCCTCGATGAACTCCTTCGCGACATCAACCGAGACATCGTCCAAACGCGAAATGACAAGTTCATGAATCAGATGAACCAACATCTCTCTGGCCTGCTCTTGCACAAGAGGGGTATAGTGATCCCACAGTACAGTAACTACTTGGAGAAGAAGGGGAACATTCTCAGCCGTGAGATGAACCGGAGATACCATCAAGTCGACCAGTAGGATAAGCGACAGTTGGCCGAGAGAGAACCCGGCTTGTTTTGTCCCGACTGGCAATGCTTCATTGAGATCCGCGCAGTAGGGGAAGCCGTTGATATCAGGAGGTGGCGGTATTGATTCCCGCTTCTCGTTTGGTACCATGGCCTTGGGATTGATCTGCATCAACAAGAATTCGACCACTTTGATTCCCGGTGTGCTATTTGTTGTCGATAAGAACACCACAATCTGTTTCACATATTCCACAAAATTCTGTTCTCGTCGTTCTAGGCAGAGATGCATGATAAAGTCCAAGATTAGACGCACATTTCCTGGGTGTGGCCCAGTGGCAAGGGCCTGCCACAGGGCTTGAACTTCATTGTGCAAGGCTCCGCCTGACTTGATAGTGAGCTCTAGGAGGTTTGCTAGAAGGACATAGGATTGAGCAGTAGGACCGCCATTGGGATCAAGTTTCAGTTCCATTGTCTGTATCCATGGCAAGATCACCGCAATGACATTTCTTTGTGCAACAGGTTGAAGATCTTTGAAATAATAGGTAAACTCTGAAAACACGTGGAACGCGAGTTCTGTATATTGTTTAGAGAGCCGTTTAGATATTTCGAACTGTGCCAATTTGTAGACAGCCTGTGTCTTATCGGAAATGCTGATGTCAAAGTCTTGGATCTTGGAGTTCCGTTGCTGACGTGCCTCGAGTGATCGGAGGACTGTTGACGACTTGGACCGTATCTCGCTCCGGTCATTTCCGAGAGTAAACAGGCAAAGACCAAGAAGCTTATAGAAAGCGCAAGGGTAGTTGTTTTGCTGCTGCAGCACTTCAATGGTGACTGAAAAATAGCTCTCCAGTACCTTTGGCACGTCGGTCACGTAACAGCGGGTAATGCAATGTTCCAGAAGGTAAGGGTATTCTTGGTTATGAATGACGAGATTTCTCAAGGCGCGCTGACCTGTGACGTTCATTCTGTCGCTCCCAGAATTGAAAATCGCCTCTATCCAAGCCAGCATGCGACGCATGTCGAACTGCAATGTAACGCCACTCTCGGTCGTGATGCTTATCGGGCCACCACAAAGCGCTGCCATGGCGCTCAGAGCAGCGGTACGAAGATTTCTCTTTTCGATCTCCATGGCAGCTGAAACGGCCCCTCGTTCACCTAGCGACTGTTGGTTGATCAGGGGCTGTCCCCTTGTATCGACTTGTGTCTGACCTTGATTGGGAGAGAAGCCGCACCAATATTCCATCAGCGAGAATGCTGACTTCCTGGATTCGAAAGTCATCCAGCGGGAGGGGTCATTGGTTTTGTTAATGCCCTCGAACAGAGCTTCCATGAGACCGCAGTAATGACGTCTCAGTTTGTGGAACTCATCATCCGATTGAAGATCACCATCCATGAGAAACAATTTCAGGTCTTTTGCATACAAAGTCAAATTGTTCAGGAAGAATTCGGATTGGTAGACCTGAGGGTCCTTCAAGAAGTGCGACGTCAATTTGAAAACGTGAGTGATTTCGGTCCGCAACAAGTCCATTTTTCGGTTGCGGCGAGGACTGCTATTTGTTCGTTGATGAATCCTTGCTCTAGCCTCATCATTGCAGCGAGAGACTTGGCCTTGCAGCTCTTCCAATAGCGTCCGGTAGATGTGAATATTGATTGAGCCCATGGCAACCACGACTGCATCACGGACAGAGGCTGACGAAACGGACAAGAGCGGAATTAAATACTTGAACAAAGTTCGAGCAGTGACAATCCTATCGGCGGATGAGGGTTTCGACGTTTTGCGTGCATGCTGGCCGTCGGGGGGTGTCTGGCCCGTGGGCAGGCTTCCTGGGTCCGCCAACGTTGTGCAGGCAAATATCAAATACAGCTTCCATTGCTCAATCATAACCTCGGGCTGTGCTGCAGGAGATCGGTTGCCCATTCGGCCCACCGCGTCGGGGCCGTAGTACAATCCCCTAGTTGGCTCTGACAAGTAAACAATCGGCTTGTACATCTGCAGTATTCGATTACAGATCAGGTCTCGACAGATGGTTACTGCGAAGGGGCATTTGTCGAACGAAATTCGGATAAGATTGGGGAAGATTTTGAACCAAAGAGTTGCATCGTAGGAAACGTCGCTCGTACATAACTCCACCACCGCGCCTTTGCTGTTGGCGTTTTGCAGTCCTCTCTGCAGTCTGCTACGCTCGGCAACAGAAAGGTGCTCATCATTAAAATTCATAACTTGGTTGGAATCGTTTTCCAAGATATTGATTAATCGTAGCGTCTCCTTCTCTTCAGAGGCATCTTTGCCCAATGCCTTAT